GATGCTCCCAACTTGCCTCCAGACCCTGACCTTGCATCAGACCCGTTCTGGACCTCGATATCGTCACAGCCTCCCTCAGCCTCGTCACAACACCCCTCGTTATTGTCACACGACCCCTTTAATATAACTCCAAACAGTACCTTCCTCCACTCTGGAAGGACTAACTCTGCGCCACCTCCTCTGGTGGACCTTCTGGGAGACCCTCTGGTTGAACCCACAGGCTCTTCCGCTGCTGCTGCTTCCGCTGCTACTGCTGGTGCTGTGGGTGCTGCAACTGCAGGCGCTGCTACTGCTGTCGGTGCAGCAGCCAAAGGCCCTGTAGCCAGCACCCAAGCGAGTGGTGCCTCTGCTGCAGAAGGGACGGCTCATGACTTGACCTTCCTCGAACGTTTCTCAGCTTCCCCTGTCGCATCCAGGGAAGAATATTCTGGTTCTATTGACGTTGCTGGTGCTACTACTGGTGGTGCCGGTGCTGGTGTTGCTGGTGGCAGTGCTGGTGAGGCTGGTGGTTTTGATGGGTTTGGGGACTTTTCGGATCTTGGTCTGCCTGCAGTTGTGGTCCATGCTTCTGCTGCTGCTGCTCCTGCTTCGGCTACTGAGGCACCTGCTGCAGCTGCTACTCCTGGTGTTTCTGCTGCTGCTGCAGAGCCTCTCTTTCCCTCTTTCCAGACTGCTTATGACTCAACCCCGTTGCAGGAATCTCAGCAGGAGGGGAAATGGCAGGAAAAGAGGGGGGAGAAGAGGGAGGCAAAGGGAGAGGCAAAGGGAGGGGTGGGAAGAAATGAGCTGAGGGGCCAAGACAAAATCAATGACACTGACACCAGCAAGGCTGGTGGTGATGACGTCACCAGCAGCCCTGTGCTGACATCATCATCGTCAGGGTATATCTCCTCTCTTCCCCCTGTAGAGTACTACGGCCCTGCAGGGAAGCTTCCCAGAACCATCTTTGATGCGCCCACGCGAATGCCTGTTGACCCAAACCGGCCGGTTCCGCTCGTGGTGTGCCCCAAGCCTAAGGGAGAGGCTCGGGCGGAGGTTCGGCCAGGAGAAGGAAGGGGGAGGGAGGGCGGAAAGGCATCTCCGTCTGCTGCAATGTCTGCTCCTGGGACCTCCGGTTTTGCCTCCGGTTTTACCACTCCTCCCTTGCCTTACTCCTCCTCTCAATCCTCAGCCTCGTCCTTATTGTCCTCCTCCCCGCCTTTATCCTCGTTTTTGGCTGTTCCGCAATCGTCATCAGTATCTGCGTCTCTTTCCGCATCTTCTGACTTATCACCCGTGTCGTCCACGTCGTCGCTACTGCCACAATCGTCGTCGTCCTCCTTGCCATCGCCATCACCAGCAGCAGCAGCAGCGGAAGTTGCGGAAGCAGCAGCAGCAGCAGCAGCTGAAGCGAATTTGACTGGGCCAGATGCGGGTGGCAAGGGTTGTCTGCTTGTGGCAGTGGGGAGTGTGGCGGTGTGTGTGACTGATGACGGCCTGAGGGCATGGGACATGCGGCAGGCCATGCTGCCTGAAGCAGCAGAGGGAAAAGCGAAAGTAGGAGCAGCAGGAGCAGTAGGAGCAGCAGGAGCTGCCAAAGCAGGAGCAACAGGAGCAGGAGCTGCAGGGGGGTTTGGCACAGCAGTGGCAGCTGCAGCTGATTCAGAAGGCGCAGCAGTACCAAAGGATACGACTGAATGTTCACAATTGAAGAGGCAATCAAAGCCCCCTTCCCGCCTGGTTTCTGACGCAGCCCCGTTTCTCTTTGTGCCTTTCAGAGGCCTGGCAGCCCGAGCCAAGAGCATAGCCTCGGACGACAGGCTCGGCGTGGTGTTCACAGGGCACAAGGACGGGCGCGTGCTAGTATGGAGGGTGCTACTAACAGGATGGGGAGCAAAGGGAACAAAGGGAGGCACAGGAGGCACAGGAGAAGGCACAGGAAGAGGTGCAGGAGTGAAGGCAGCTGGAGAAGCAAAGGAGTTCAAAAGGGGGTTGGGAATCGGGTTGCGTGATCCTCGAGTGCAGGTGGCACTGGTGGCGGACTGGCAGGCCCATATAGCCACTGTGACTGCTCTGGTCGTCACTCCCTATGGTTAGTATCCATCCCCTCCCTATGGTGCTGCATATGTATTCAAGAGTTAGTAGCACGGCAGGTGCAGGAGCGAAGGGAGTCAAGAGGGGGTTGGGAATCAGGTTGTGTGATCCTGGAGTGCAGGTGGCACTGGTGGCGGACTGGCAGGCCCATACAGCCACTGTGACTGCTCTCGTCGCCACTCCCTATGGTTAGTATCCATCCCCTTCCTAAGGTGCTGCATATGTATTCATAAGTTAGTAGCACGGCAGGTGCAGGAGCGAAGGGTGTCAAGAGGGGGTTGGGAATCAGGTTGTGTGATCCTGGAGTGCAGGTGGCTCTGGTGGCGGACTGGCAGGCCCATACAGCCACTGTGACTGCTCTTGTCGTCACTCCCTATGGTTAGTATCCATCCCCTCCCTAAGGTGCTGCATATGTATTCATAAGTTAGTAGCACGGCAGGTGCAGGAGCGAAGGGTGTCAAGAGGGGGTTGGGAATCAGGTTGTGTGATCCTGGAGTGCAGGTGGCTCTGGTGGCGGACTGGCAGGCCCATACAGCCACTGTGACTACTCTAGTCATTACTCTATTGTGCGTGCACACTCAGACCGCGGTGGTATTGGCATGCTGCGTTCCAGGCAGGTTGGCAATGGCATGGCATGGATGCTCTCTCTCGGGAGTTGCATGATCCTCTTTCCTGTCCTGTCCTTACCCACGCACCTTTCGCCTTGGCAGGCGAGTTGTCCCTATTCTTCTGGTGATCATGTTGTGACTCAAAATGTGTTGTGTGCCATAGTAACGAGGTGACTTTTGAGTCGACTCAAAAGTCACCTATTCGTCTGGTGATCATGTCGTGACTCAAAATTCTCTGGCACATGCCCGTCCCGTCCGCACCTGCCTCATTACGCCCCTTGTCTTCCCACCCACATGGCAGGCGAGCTGTGGTTGTCTGTGAGTATGGCTCATTCTGAGGTTCAATAGAGCCCCTTACAGGAGCCATGACTTTGCGTGGCAGCAGCAGCTTTTAGCAACTGTTTGCTAAAAGCTGCTGCTGCCACGCAAAGTCATGTCTCCTGTATGGGGCTCTATTGGACGAGCTGTGGTCGTCTGTGATTCTGGCATATTTTGAGGTTCTCAAGTGATGCCTATTCCTGCTTCATGCTACCCACCCCTCCTCCCCCTCCCCTTCCCTATGGCATGGGCAGGCGAGCTGTGGTCAGCTGGTGATCGTGGAATCATCAAGGCATGGACCCGCCTCTCCCTCACCACCGAGGTTCATCGAGCCATGCACCAACTAGAGGAGGGCGTAGAGGAGGGGAGGGATGGGGGGAGGTATAGGCCAATAGCATCTGATCTGCAGCAGCAGCAGAATGCTGACGTGACAGGTGCGGCTGTGGCGGTCCGCATCAGCCCTGCCTGCGTGGAGCTTCGGCAGCACCGAGGCTCGTCAGGCTCGGCAGTGGGCGAGCAGGCTCGGAACGACGTGGCGGAATCCAGCAATCCGAGAGGATACAGTGGAAGTAGTACCAGCTATGAAAATCGCACTGCTGCTGATCCTGCTACTGGCAATGCTGCTGCCGGTGCCGCTGCTGGTGCTGCTGGTGGTGCTGGTGCTGGTGCTGGTGCTGGTGCTGCTGGTGGTGCTGGTGGTGCTGGTGGTGCTGGTGGTGGTGCTGGCAATAACGCTGGTACACCACCCAGGGCACTATCACCTGTATCTGAGAGCATGCAAGCTTTACCACCGCTGTCTGTTGTTTCAACCGCACGAGGAGCTGTGAGGGTGATGGTGGCAGATGCGGCTACTGGTTGGGTGTGGACGGCTGGGCCTGCCTCTGCTTGCATCTGGTAAGCCAAGCTTTATCCCACCCCTTCACTCATTCAACCATTCAACCATTCACCCAGGGCACTACCACCTGTACCTGAGAGCATTCCACCTTTGCCGCCGCCTATGGTTTCAACCGCACGAGGAGCTGTGAGGGTGATGGTGGCAGATTCGGCTACTGGTTGGGTGTGGACGGCCGGGCCTGCCTCTGCCTGCATCTGGTAAGCCAAGCTTCGTTCCACCCCTTGACCATCTATGCCTGGAAACATACGGGTAGTTGTTAGCGGATTAGAGTAGTGCTGCTGCTTTCCGTCCCAATGGCGCGAGGAATTGTAAGGGTGATGGTAGCAGATGCGACTGCTGGCTGGGTGTGGTGTGGAGTCCACACTGTGGACGGCTGGCCCTGCGCCTGCATGCGTCTGGTGAGCCAAGCTTCATTCAATCACGCCCTTATGCCTTGCCAGCATCATAGGGTGGGGAGCAGCTTCACTGAGTGTCCGCTGGATGGTAACGCTACTGGCTGGGTGTGGTGTGGACGGCTGACCCTGCGTCTACGTGCGTCTGGTGAGCCAAGCTTCATTCAATTTTGGCCATCATGGGTGGGGTAGGGTGGGGTGCGGTTTCATTGTGTGTCATTTGGAAACGCGTGTCAATAAAGCTAAGCTTCATTCACCTTCGTACTTCTCGTCAGCATCATCGGATGCTTTTGCCCAATGCGACTTGCATGCTCAGCCCTGTGCCATTGTAGCAAGGTGAGTTTTTTTTGCAAACTGAGGGTAATTTGTAAATTCAAATCACCTTGTTCACCTGCTTCTCTCAGTCGATCTTACTTCTCCCTACACACACTGATCTCTCAACACTGTTCTCTTACACCTCTGCACCCTTTTTAACCCCTCCATACACCCCTCCTCTTTTGAAGGGATGCAAGAAAAAAGGAGCTCATTCGAGCTCTCTCCTCCCTCTCAGACCCGAGCGCATCAGAAGAACCTCCCAGGAGCTTTCCTCCCCGCGGTAACTCAGTAGCAGCAAGCAGCAATGACGTCAGCATCATTAGCAGCAGCACCATTAGCAGCAGCAGCACATTTAGCACTGCCACTGGCGGTGGGGGTAATAATACTAGAGACAGGCGTATGGACGGTGCTTGGAAACTCTTAGCTAAGTCCCGGGAAGTGCTTGGAAAAGCTAAGGGGGCAGTGACCGATGCTGTAAGAGCTGCAGCAGCAGCAGCAGGGAGAGGAGAGGAGTACTTAAGTGGCAGTGGTGGTATTGACGATCTGGATACAAGTGGTGGCGGTGGTAGCACCACCACCGTTTCCTCTCCATCCCCAGCACCAGCAGTAAGAGTCTCAGGGGGCTCGTTGAGAAAGCTCCAAGCGGCAACTGCTGTGGGTGATGGTTCCGTCTGGTTTGGGTTCAGGTCCGGCGCGCTGGTTCGGATCGACAGGTTCGGGGCGAGAATGCAGGAGGTGGGGTTGGATGCGGGAGTGTGCTGTCTCTGTGTTGTGGGGTTGAGGCTTTGGGTGGGGATGGCGGATGGGGGGATAGTAGTGCTTGGGGCGAGGAATGGAAGGAGATTAGGTGGGTGGCCTGGTGTGCAAAGGCTGAGTCGTAAGCAGCAGCTGCAGCTGCAGCAATATCAGCAGCAGCAGTTTCAGCAACAGCAACAACAGCAGCAGCAGCAGCAGCAGTTTCAGCAGTATCAGCAGCAACAGCAACAGCAGCAGCAGCAGCAGCAGCAGCAGTTTCAGCAGTACCAGCAGCAGGAGCAGGACCAGAAGGAAAGGTTCAGAGGAGAATTGCTGTCAGTAAATGGTCCAGATGGTTTCGGTCGTCCTGAGAACAGCAGCTATGGGGAAAGCTATGGGGGAACCAGTAGAGGAATAAGCGCGGAAAGCAGTGAGGGGAGCAGCGGTATCACGCGCATGAGTGGTAGCCAGGGTATCTCTGGTCTTCCAACCATTCGCCAGCTTGTACCTTTCACTCTAGGACTTGTCATCCCTGGTGGCAGTATTAGCAGCAGTAGTAGCGGCAGTGGTGCCGCCGCTGACAGTAGCAGCTACAGTACCTCCACAACAACGGTGGGCCAGTTTGTCTTATCCGTCGCAAAAAATGGCGAAGTTTCAGCTTGGCCCTCCACCCTCCCCTCGCCGCCCCTGGAATCCGCACTACACGCCGCCCTCGCCGCCCACTCCCAGGCATTCACTAAAAGACGAAAGCTGCAAGTGGCAACTGGAACATGGAACGTGGGGGAGGAGAAACCCGACGGGGAGACTGTCCAGGCTTGGCTGGGGGAGGTGGCTAGAGGGGCGGATGTGGTTGCAGTGGGGCTGCAAGAGGTTGAGATGGGTGCAAGGGCCATTGCCCTTGCTGCAGCGAAGGAATCGGTCGGGATGGGTTTGCAGGAGAAAGAGAGCGGTGCTGCGCAGGAGTGGACTGCGGTTATTCGGAAGGCCCTTGGTGCTGCTGGTTCTGCTGCTGGGGGTGGTTCTTCTGCTGGTTCTGCTGGTGCTTCTGCTGGTGGTTCTTCTGGTCTTACTGTTTCCTCTGACCCTTCCTCTCTCTCTGCCTCCTCCTCTTCCTCCTCTTCTGCTGCTGCCTGTGCGGATGATGGTTTTGTGCGAATCGCGTCGCGACAGTTGGCCGGCATGCTGCTGACTGTGTGGTAAGACGGGCGGCATTTGGGTGGTCATTCATTTATTTATTTTATATGAATTCCATTCATGTCATTTGTTGAGACCTATGCTTGTTAGTTCACACATGAATTCACGTAATCCTAAAGCCTAATTTTCTCACTCACCTCTAACCTCTTTGCCTTCCTCTCTCCAACAGGTTGCGCGAGTCTCTCCTTCCTAACATATCTGACGTTGAGACAGATGGATGACACTTATATGAGGCCCCTCAATTATCTTCTCTCTGCCTTCCCACCGCATGTCACTATCCCTACCTCATTGTCGCTCTTCATATGTTACTCCCTACTCTCCTCTCTGTTTCTCTCGTTCAGGGTGCGTGAGTCTCTCCTGTCAGACATATCTATTTTTGAGTCGACTCAAAAATCGGGGTGCGTGAGTCTCTCCTTTCAGACATATCTATTTTTGAGTCGACTCAAAAATCGGGGTGCGTGAGTCTCTCCTGTCAGACATATCTGACGTGGAGTCGAGACACGACTCGTCATCCCACTCTGCCATCCTTACCTCAATGTCCCTCTGTTACTCCCTACTCTCCCTCTGTTTCTCTCTCCAACAGGGTGCGAGAGTCACTCCTTCCGGACGTATCCAACGTGGAGACCGGAGCCGTGGCACTTATGAGGCGCCTCCAAAATCTTCTCTCTGCCTTCCTACCTCATCCTGCCCTACCCCACCGTTTCTTTCTCTCATTCAGGGTGCGAGAGTCTCTCCTTCCGGATATATCTGACGTTGAGACGGGAGCCGTGGCGTGCGGTTTCGGCCGAGCGCTTGGCAACAAAGTGAGGCGTTAAGTCTTCTTGCGCATGACAATATGCGGCCGCGTCTGTGCAATCGTCAACTGCCACCTGGCAGCGCACGACAGTGCACGATATATCAATTTTATCCCATGTGATCCCTTGTTACCCCATATTAATGCACACTGCGCAATCATCAACTGCCACCTGGCGGCGCACGCCAACGCAGACTTCATCCCTAGTTATTCCATATTGTTCCATATCATTCCATCTTATCCCATATTATTCCATATTGTTCCATATCATTCCATCTTATCCCATATTATTCCATATTGTTCCATATCATTCCATCTTATCCCATATTATTCCATATTGTTCCATATCATTCCATCTTATCCCATATTACTCCATATCATTGCACACTTACCGACCAGGGAGGGGTGGGCGTGCGCATGACAATATGCGGGCGCGTCTGCGCAATCATCAACTGCCACCTGGCAGCACACGACAACGCGACAGCTAAGCGCAATGAGGACTGGCATCGCATTTACACGAGCATGGAGTTTGGACGATCTATGGGTACCGTGGGCACTGCTGCCACCAATGCAGCTAAAGCCGCTGGAGGTAGGGTTGGGGGGGAGCGGGCGGGGCCAACATGACTTCCAAGCGCAACGAGGCATGGCATCTACACGAGCATGGAGTTTGGACGTTCCATGGGGACTGTGGGCACTGCTGCCACCAATGCAGCTAAAGCCGCTGGAGGTCAGATGAGGCTGGGGAAGGGAGAGGGTGGGAGAAAGGAGTGAGGGTGTATGGTGAGGTGGGTGCAGGGGGGATTGGCATCGGATTCACACAAGAATGGAGTTTGGACGATCTATGGGGACTGCTGCCAGCAACGCTGCCAAGGCTCCTGGAGGTACAAAGGGGGACGGACGGACTGGTGTGTTGGGGTGGGTGGGTGCAAGGGGGACTGGCATGGCATTGCGTTTACACGAGCATAGAGTTTGGGAGATCCATGGGGACTGGTGGTACTGCTGCGACTCGTGCAGCTAAAGCCGCTGGAGGTAGGGTTAGGGTTGAGGTTAAGGGAGGGAAGAGGGTGGGCGGGTGGGTGTATCTCGAAACTGAATCAGTCTACGAAGTGACTTGAGTCTTCCCAAAAGCGTGGGTGTGTGTAGCTTGAAGTTGAAGTTGGCTCGTGAGTTGACTCAGAAGTCACTTCTAATATATATATAAAAAAAAACAAAACGTCGATCTGCCTTTTTTTTCATCTCCCCAAGCACCGTGTCTTCTCCCCACCCAACCCTAAACCCGAAACCCCTACCACCACCCCTTGTCGTTTCAGCTGGCTTCCAATCGGCTGTTCAAGGTTTTGTGAAGGCTGCAGGGAGGGGCGTGGGGGGGGCGGCAGGGGCGGCAGGCTTTGTCCCCATCTCCAGCACTCAAGGCACCGACGTGTCGGGCTCTGATTGGCCAAACGCTGCAGCTGGTATCAACAGCAGTTCCAGCATTGGAAGCGTTGATTCATATGCTGAGGTGCGTTTTGCGCCGATGCAAGGCATCACCACTGCTAACAGCACGACTGGCGTTAGAAACAGTGATTCTTCATGTTCTGAGGTGCTGCCTCCTGCCTTGGCTTCTTTCAGTGTCCCTGGAGAGCAAAATAAGCAACTTAAGCCACGAAAGAATGTCATAGAAGAGGAGCAAGAGACCTCCGAAGAAGCTTCCTTTATGAAAGCACATGGCCTTTCCTTGGATGCCACAGAGAAAGCTCCGACCGCATTGAACCATTCCCAGCCCTCTTGGGGTTCAGATGAAAAGCTGTCTCATTACAAGCCTGCTTCACCTGACAGTTCTTCTCACTCTTGTCGTTTCTCACACCCGGAGAAGACATCACCCTACGGAGACCGTGCTGCAGCTGCTGCTGCTCCTGCCGCTACTGCTGCTGCTGCGCGCTGCTGTTGTTGCGTGTGCGCTTGCCTGCCTCTGCTTCTCCTTGGCGCCCTTTCCTTTGGGTGGCCTGCAACTGCCCTTGCTGCTGTTGCTTCCACAGTTGCTGCTGCGGTGACTGCTGCAGCTGTGCTCGTTTCACCTGCCTCTGTAAGTCTGATTTAAATAAATAAATAAAAAAATACAGACGTTTTCAGTGTGCAGTGGTGTAGATGGAAGGTATGCAGCGCTGTAACCACGAGGCAGTACCCGCGCTGCTGCTGCTGCCGCCACCGCCGCCGTGTGACCAGCTGAAAGCATGTGACTGGCTTAGGTCAGTAGCTACTGACCTCCCCTCCTCTCCCCTTCCCCTCCCCCTCCCCCTTCGACAGCCCTCCTCGCCTCGCCCGGACCTAGCTCAGAGCGATCTGCTCATTTGGATGGGCGATTTGAACTACCGCCTCGACGGGTGTTCAGTTCATATGACTGCAAGGGGCAAAGTAAGGCCTCTCACCACCTGCCTCCCTGCCCCACCCCACTTCCCCCTTCCACAGACCCCTGCATCTCGCCCTGACCTATCTCAGAGCGATCTGCTCATTTGGATGGGCGATTTGAACTACCGCCTTGACGGGGTGACTTGCTGAGAGGAGAGATGAAGGCACGTGACCAGCTCCTTTCCTCCCTTCTCTCCCTGCCCTCCCTGCCCTCCCTCTCCTCCTCCCTCCCCATACCCACAGCCCCCCACTTCTCGCCCTGACCTGTCTCAGAGCGACCTGCTCATTTGGATGGGCGACTTGAATTACCGCCTCGACGGGTGTTCATACGACGAGGCATGCAGCGCCATGGCAAGGAGGCAGTACCCGCTGCTGCTGCTGCTGCTGCTGCTGCTGCTTCTGCTGTGTGGCCACCTGAAAAGGGAGATGAAGGCCCGAGACCAACTGCTTTCCTCCTCACCCTCTCCTCCCCTCCCCCTTCCCTCCCACAGCCGCCCTCATCCCGCCCTGACCTGGCTCAGAGCGACCTTCTGATCTGGATGGGCGATTTGAACTACCGCTTCGACGGGGTGCCTCACTGAGAGGAGAGTTGAAGGCCCATGACCAGCTGCTCACCTCCCCTGCCCTGCCCACCCCCCTCCCTCCCGCAGCCCCCCGCTGCTCGCCCTGACCTGGCTCAGAGCGATCTGCTCATCTGGATAGCCGATGTGAACTAGCGCCATCATGGGATGGAGGGATGTAAGCCTCTTTTCCCCCTTCCCCCCTCTCGCTTCCTCCCGTCCCCTCCCCTTTCCCCTCCCCCAGCCCTCCTCCCCTCGCCCTGACCTAACTCAGAGCGACCTGCTCATTTGGATGGGCGACTTGAACTACCGCCTCGACGGGTGTTCATACGACGAGGCATGCAGCGCCATTGCAAGGAGGCAGTACCCGCTGCTGCTGGAGTGTGATCAGCTGAGGGCGGAGATGAAGGCAGGGAGGGCGTTTGTGGGCATGCAGGAGGGAAAGGTTGACTTTGCCCCGACCTACAAGTTTGATCGTGGGACGTTCAACCCCCTGGGTGAGTGTTTTTTCTGCTTGTTGAAAGGGGAGATGAAGGCCGGGAGGGAGTTTGTGGGTATGCAGGAGGGGGTGGTTGACTTTACACCGACCTACAAGTTCGACCGTGGGACGTTCAACCCTCTCGGTGGGTGTCTGTTCTGGTTTCTCCTGGTGTTTTCCCTCCCTTCTTCTCAGACCCCTCTAATCCCTCCAATTTCCATCCATCCCATGCCAATCGTCCCTCCCCATCCCTCCCAGTGTATGATTTCCGGTGAGAAGCGAAGGGTCCCTGCCTGGTTGGGTGCCTGCCTCCCTGCCTGTTCCTCTCATCTCTCTGCTCTACTGCTCCCTCCCATTTTCTCATCCATCCCATGCCAATCGTCCCTCCCCATCCCTCCCAGCGTATGATTCCGGTGAGAAGCGAAGGGTCCCTGCCTGGTGCGACCGCATCCTCTTTAGAGACAGCTTCACTAGCAGCAGCGGCGCATCCCAGAGTGGTGAAACAAGCAGGATCGATTCGTCAGGCCCGATACGGGATGGTAGCGGTGGCAACACTGGTGTGGCCAAGGGGAGAACCTCTCTCTCCCACCCTGTTTCAGTCGAAGTTCTACGGTGCGTTCTCTCTCTCCTGGCTCTCACTCTCACTCTCACTCTCGCTCTCTCTCCATCTCTAAGTTTCTCGCTGATGCTCATGCTGCTCCCAGCGCCTGCCTTGATGCTGTTCTCTTCTCTTTCTCCCCTCCCATACCCGTCCCCCACCCCACCCCCAGCTACGCATCCTGCATGGCGGCCTTTCTGAGCGACCACAAGCCCGACCTGTCATCTTTTGCGTCGACTCAAAACCCCTCATCTCCCTCATGAGAGTCATTATCCCCTGCCCTCATGCTGTCCTGTCCCCTGTTTCTCCATCTTCCCACATTTCCCCACCACCCCACCCCCAGCTACACATCCTGCATGGCGGCCTTTCAGAGCGATCACAAGCCCGTCACTTCCCTTATGCAAGTCACAGTTGCCTGCCCTGACGCTGCTGCTCAGAGATCCCTGGTTACCCGCCTCCTCGCATCTCCACTCCTCTCCACCCCTCTCTCCTCCACTAGCACCACTAGCTCCGCCACCCCCACCCCTGCCACTGACCTCCTCTCTTTAGCTCCTGGAGGTAACCTCTCCCCTGCTGTCTCTTCCTTTGAAACTCCCCCTCTTGCCTCTCCTCTAGCCTCCCCTCTCTCCTCCCCTCTTGAGGCGCCACAAGAATCATATCCCCCTCTCAGCTCGCTGCTACGGCGAATGGCAGCATCCCAACGCTCCTCTCTCCTTCCATCGAGCACTTTTGTGAGAATAGACCTGGCTTCGGGAAGAGCTTCGGTCATGGTGAGCAATAAGGGTGATAAGAGCACAGGGCATCCGATGGGGTTTAGAGTGGTCTGCGAGGGTGAGGGTGTGTTGAAGGAGGAGGAGGTGGTGGAGGGACGGAAGGACGGGGAGAAGAGGATGGGAGGATCTGGTACTGGAAATGACATTGGGGTGACTACAGGTGGAGATGTGATTACAATGGAAGAAGGGTTGAGATGCGATTGGCCTATTTGGCTGCAGGTGCAACCTGGTTCAGGTGTTATCCCGCCTGGGGAATCCGCTACAGTGGAATTCACCCTTAGACACTCAGAAGGCGTAGCAGCGGCGGAGCAAAGCAAAGAAGGCATGAAGCCTGGTAGTGGGGTCGGCACGCCGCTACATGACACAACAGGTCCCTCCAATGGCTGTGTCCTTGTAATGGGAGTGACCACATGGGGACCCACAGCGTTGACTCTGAGGACGCATAGATTCGGCCTGGTTATTCCGCAGTTTGTTTAGGTTTATCTCGTACACATTGCTTGCCTCTTTCTGGCTATGAGGGGGATATGTAGCTTGCCAAGCTAATTAGCTTCATCCATGTCTTCATTTTCAGACTTTGAAGTGTACTACTCTATCTTCCCTCAAACTATCTGCTACATGCACAATATTTCTACTACACTCTTTGTTACCATTGGGGATTGCCATTCGAACCAATGAAACACACAGACTTCCTGGGGGAATGCTCAGCGCGACAAAACGTTCCTTGGATAACTTGTAGAAGAGTGCTGTGCTGCTCATTGCCGCCACCACATGTATGGTAGTTAAGTACCGTGCCAGCCACCAAACCAGCAATTCCACCAAGGCTCCAAAACAATTGCAATATGCTGCTGCTGCAATAGAGCTCAAGCAACAGTATCAAAACAGCAACTTGTTAGTGCCCCGCACCTAAACCAGCAATGCCCATCCTTTCACGGTATTCAGTTCTCTTTTCCTCCCCTACATCTCAGTAATTTCCATTCTACATGTTACGCTTCCTTTCTTCGGCCCGTCTACATCTTCCCCTTGGCGATCTTGGACCATTCAGTGTGGTAGTTGCCGTCAACGTCCACACGCTCGTACGTGTGCGCGCCAAAGTAGTCTCGCTGCGCTTGCACCAGGTTGGCAGGCAGCCGGGCACGGCGGTAGCTGTCGAAGTAAGCCAGGCTGCAAACAGAGGGGAGTTGTATGGGGATTGAGGGCAAAGGGGGAAGTGGGTAAGTTAGACCGACTGCAACCCAGCACCATCCTCCTGCCTATCCACCACCCCATCCAAAAAGAACCAGCGCAAGGTTCCGATCATACGCCTGCTTGATCCGATCCAGAAACACCGCCCGGATGATACACCCACCCACCCTTCCTTCCCATACGCTCTCCCTTCCTTTGACTCTCTTACTCTGTCCTTTCTCTTCCTCATCCTGCCAATTTCTCCCCTCACCTGGTGCTCATGCCCGGGGCGGTAATCCCAGCCTGGATCGCCAGGGTGACCACACGCCGCCACGCCTGCTGCCGCTCCACCACCTCCTTGGCAAACTCCGAATCCACCAGCAGATTCGCCAGCGCAGGGTTCCGGTCATACGCCTGCTTGATGCGATCCAAAAACACCGCCCGGATGATACACCCGCCCTTCCAGATCCTCGCCAGCTCTCCCAGGTTCAACCCCCAGCCCTGCTCCGTGCTCTTCGCGCGGATCAGATTCATCCCCTGCGCATAACTGCAGACCTTGGACGCGTACAGAGCCTTCCGAACATCTTCCACAAGCTGGGCTTTATCCATTCCTGAGACAGCCGCTGCCCCGTCCGAAAGCCCGGCTGCGGCGAAGACCGCTGAGGCTGCCACCCGCTCGTCTTTCAGGCCGGAGATGTAGCGTGAGTCGAGAGATGCAGCGATGGTGGGGGCGGCGATCGAGAGCTCTGCTGCCTGCTGGACCGTCCACTTGCCCGTGCCCTTCATGCCGGTCTTGTCGAGGATTGCGTCGACCAGGAACTTGTTTTCGCCTGGAGCCGCGCGGTCGTCCTTGACTGCGAAGATGTCGGCAGTGATCTCCACCAGGAAGCTCTCGAGCTCGTTCTTGTTCCAGCTGGTGAACACGGCGTGAAGCTCCTCGTTTGAAAGCCCACCCACGTTCTTCAGGATGTCATAGCTGAAAGAAGCAGATGGGCAAGGGGAGATGGGGAGGAGGGGGGAGGGAGTGAGCATAGGAGAGTGACCAGGAAGCTCTCGAGCTCGTTCTTGTCCCAGCTGGTGAACACCGAGTGGATCTCCTCACTTGAGAGGCCACCTACATTCTTCAGAATGTCATAGCTGGAATGTGAGGGCGAAGCGGGAAAGGGTTGAAGGGAGAAACGGGAAAAGCGGGGAAGGGAGGATCGCGTCGACTGGGAACTTGGCTTTGTCTGGTGCTGCGAGGTCTCACAACAACTATCTCCGCACTCCCCGAACCGCAGCTCCCCAACGTCGGCACAATCCCATCAAGGAGCCAACGCTATCCAAACCTCGAAATCCCAACACCTGGTGATTAAATCCTTTGTTCACCATTTGAAATGAGCTCCATTCCGTACTCATTCCATCTTGCACAAAGTCTGTCACGCACTCCCCCAAACTAAACCCGAAATTTCCAGCTTTCCATGTTGCCGCATTTGACCCTGCGCCCAAATTTAGGACACTTCCCTATCTCTAAAGCCACTGATCATTCCACGTGAAAATTCCGACCCCACCCAAGCCCATCCTATCCCAGCCGACCAGTCCTAACCCCAAAAACTCACGCTTCCGAGATGAGCTGCATGTCGCCGTACTCAATCCCATTGTGCACCATCTTCACGAAGTTCCCCGCGCCACCTTTGCCCACGAAAGTAACACACGGCCCGTCGTCCACCTGAGCCGCCACCTTCTTTACCACGTCCTCCACTATCGCGTACGCCTCCTTAGACCCGCCCGGCATGAGCGACGGCCCGAACCGAGCGCCCTCCTCGCCGCCTGACACGCCCATGCCCAGGTAGAGGAGACCCTTGGCCTTCGCCTCAGCCTCTCGACGCTCCGTGTTCTCGTACCTGATGGTTGATAACACCGGAGAGAAGGGAAGAAGGGAAAAGGAAAGCGAGGTGAACCAACGGGCCTAGTTAGTTCAAGAGCTTCTGACAATTTGTTTCATGAATTCAAATCCTGCAAACCTTTTTTAAACGAATGTGAAGTGGTAGTTCTGAGCGGGATTCTCGAAACCCCTGGCCATTCACTCCTACTGTCATCGACTAAAGAGAACGTGCTGACAACGCTACCACTCCTCGCGCTATGTCGCGCCGTCATCGGAGCAGTCCGTCGGGACTCAACAGGAAAGAGACATGTTCAAAGAAAGGTCGGCCAACAATCGTAATTTCCTCACCATTCGTTCCCGCCATCGATGATGACGTCACCCGGCTCCAAGTACTCCGAGAGCACCTTGATCGTGTCATCCACGGGCTTCCCGGCCTTCACCAGAATGATGATCGATCTGGGCCGTTGGATCGACTCCACGAAGTCCTTCACGTCGTGGAAGCCGCGCAGAGGCAGGTCGCCCTCCGCCTTGGCGCGAGCGACGGTGTCGTCCACCTTGCTGGCCGTGCGGTTGTACACGGAGATGGGGAAGCCCTTCTCGGCAATGTTCAGAGCGAGGTTCTGCAGGCAGGCAAAGAAGACTGACGAAATACATTAGATACTGACATGTCGTTCATCTTGGTTGCTGTGCGGGTTTTACACGAAAATGGAGAGATTTTTCTCCGCAATGATTCGCAGGCAGGGAGAAAAAAATCGAAGGCTATGCGTAAATCTTGCAAATCTGCTTGGCAAAATAATCAAATGAAAAACGTCTCGCGGATATTCAAACACGGCTCATTATTTAAAAAAAAAAAGGGAAATGCCATGACAAATGTCCATTCCCAGCAACCTTACCTGTCCCATCACCGCCAAACCAGCGAGGCCGATCCGAGAAAGGCCAGTGGAAGACGCCATTCTGCAGGGGAAGTATTGATATAGGACACGGATGAGATTGACGGGAAGAGACAACGATAAGTAGCACCAATCACTGCTCAACTGCACTTGAAGTTGCGTACGCCAGTTGCTTGGCCGAAAAACATCAGCAATATCTCAACCATTGTCAACCATGATGATTCATCTTCGTTACTCTCTTATAGTTAAGTCCTGCAGAAACATACGAATGCAACACCGTTATCCGTTATGACTTACTTGGAACTCTGAGCTGCGTCTGCGACAGTCGCCCGAACAATGCTGCTAGATCGTTGACGCTTTTCTTGGAAAACTTCTGCAGCGGTACATTATGTGAATTAACAGAAATTGGTGCAACGAACAATACCTCTGCCGTCCGAATCACTAATCATAATGTAGGATTCGAAGATTCGAGAAGTAATCACTACGAGGTAGGTGAATGGATAGAGACGAGCGGGAAGCATCACGAACGCACCTTGTTTGTGCGTGGATGACAATGGGAGACCAGATTGCGAGAAACTTGCAGCAAGCTTCTTCCACGCAAGTTTGTTCTGAATGCCTGATTGACTCTTCCGAACCGAGTTAGCTGATCGAGTAAGAGACGCAGCAGCGGTCAACGAACTCGTGACTGCGAGCTCAGCAGCCATGGAATAAAAATGTATAAATGACCAGAAGAATTAGAAGGCCAAGAATCAGGCAAATCGCCTGGCGAAGGTGGCAGACAGAGCAGAGGGAGGTGAGGGTGAGGGAGAATGGAGCCACTGAAAGAACCTCTCGGGAGGTTCTGGAATCCTGGAACGTTGGAAGCTGGGAGGAAAAATGAGGGCTCAAGGTTGGTTCGTCCGAAATAGCTGTGAGCGACGTAGTCACGTGCGAAATATCCGGGACCAGGATGGTTGTTGTCAAAACTTTCGAAAGGCGTTTCACTTCAGGTATTACAGCTGTACCGTAGTGAATTTGTCCGAAACTAGTCTTTCGATCTGATTTCCAGGCTTAATTTGAAGAATTGCAAGGTTTCCGCCTGCGTTGCTTCTGAAGTACGAAATGACTTTCCGGAACTCGAGCTACTTGAGGAAACTGGGGTAGCATAATTCTTCCAGAGCAGCTAGGGTTGCTGCTGCGTAAAAAAAACCATCCCAAGTGCCCAAAAAGGCAACCTGCATCTCCGAAAAGCGGGGATCAGACAGCTTTTCACTGGCCCGTCCACATCAGCCAATGGTAACATATCCACTCACCTTCACCCGATGGACCCCGACTACGTGTCAAGTTCCATAAGATTTTTCATTCGCCCAGTCAGAGCTCCCAAGCCACGTCGAAGGTCAGCCCAGCTGGGCTGCTGCTGGGACCACCAGCTGGCTCTGCTCACAAATTCTGCAAACAACGTTTTGCGCACCCGCAGATAGCTGCCCCTTCTGGCGCGCAGAGGCCATGGATTTGCCGCAAAGATCGGTGTTTTGAAAAGGGGAAAAAGCCGCCCAGCATACATACACTACCTGCTGGGGGAATGGGCTGGTCGCCGCTTCGTTTCCGCAACTCTTGCCTTTTCCCGCCTGTGCCTATCCTGGCTAGCATGTTGCAATGTACAAGTGATTGATTCAGACTAGTATACTTGCATTGTTGCCTGATGGCTGATCCATCAGTCGCCATGGCATCTCTTGCTCCTCCCTGCTTGCCTCCTGTCGCATGCTGCAGCCAACGTAGGCCCGCCGCGTTGACAACGTGTTGTACGTTTCGTTACTGAGAACACGTTGAACACAAACGTTGTCTCCGCCGTACGTTGAGCACTCCTGTCGCATCCGAACCCGTCATGGCCTCGCCCGGCCGCCTCTGGCTCGGCTCTTGGGCTCGCTTCCTATTGGGGCAGCGCCTCGCGCCATATGTTCCCACACCTCCGCACGTGGTTCGGGAGATGCTTCGGCTGGCTCGTGCCGGACCTGACGACGTGGTTTGCGACCTGGGGTGCGGCGATGGGAGATTGCTGGTAGAAGCCGCGCTAAGACATGGGTCGAGAGGGTTCGGCGTGGATTTAAATGCGGAGCTTCTACGGGCAGCTGAAGAAAACATTCAACGGCACGGATTGGCTGACCGAATCGCAGTTTCTTGCCAGGTAGCATCGTGAAAAGGGTGTGTTTGGATAGGAAAAGAAGGGGAAAGGAGGCGAAAGGAAGGTGGGTAGGGGAAGGGGGAGATGAGATGGGTGAGGGGAGAGGAGATGGGTGCGGGGAGAAAAACGGGAGGTTAGAGGGGAAATGGCTGGTCAGGTGGCACAAGGTCTCGTTGATAACGTAAGGAATTTTAAGTGCCTTCGCGAGAAAGGTGGCTTGGGAAGTTAAGTACTGATCAGAACCTATCCGCCCTCTATCCCTGCAGGATGCACTGACGGTGGACCTTCGCGAAGCAACAGTGGTAACCCTATACCTCAGCGAATTCGGTAACCAGCAGCTGGTTCTTCGCCTGCAGTCGCAGCTGCCCCCGCACAGCCGCGTAGTCTCCTTCTGCTGGAAGTTTCCTGAGAAGTTTCGGCCAGTTGAGGAGAGGAGAATAGATGGCATTCCGCTTTACCTGTACAAGTTTAGCTAACAGGGGTGGGGATACGTAACGTACAAAGGCTAGGTAAGATCAGGAGGGAAGTCGTAGGGAAGAGCAAGAAAGTATTGCTAACAGGAGGGTGATAGGATGTTGCCACAGCCATGTGAGTGTGAGCTCTGGGTGGAGGGTGTTTTGCCATGATTTGGTGGCACGGATTGTGCTGCAGACATTGGCTGCTGGAGAAATATGGAAGTTCCGCATTAGCCTTAAACCCTGACGCAATTGATGAGGTATTTGCAGATTTCCTAGGTTAAGTGTTTTCACAGAGCAGTGAAGCAACACAGTGCACTAATTGACGTTGGATGAGGGAATGCTTGATTCTAGAATGCGCATGGAGCAGCAGTCAGCAGTGGGATGGCTGCACGCGCACTGAAATCCCCATGGCCCTCATCTCATCAAACAGTAGCTTCACAGCATACGGCATGCACACCTGTGGGAGGAAGGGGGGCCAGCGAAAGGGGGAAAGGATGGAAGGAAAACATGCATACATTACATGAGAAATGGTATGCACTTCAACCCCATAGCCCTCAGCTCATCCAACCAAAGCTTCATGACATCACTTTTCAGAATCCTCAGCTGTGTGCGTGGCCACTATACCAGCACATAAGTGTTTTTCAAACCAGCTTCACAATTTAGGCCATGCACACATGCCCCACGCTGCTTCACGATATAGGCCATGCACACATGCCCCACGCTGCTTCACGATATAGGCCATGCACACATGCCCCACGCTGCTTCACGATATAGGCCATGCACACATGCCCCACGCTGCTTCACGATATAGGCCATGCACACATGCCCCACGCTGCTTCACGATATAGGCCATGCACACATGCCGCACATTCCCTGTGGCATGGCTTACCTCTGTGGTGTTTGTGCTGCTTCCACACGACTGGCACCCAGGGCCATGGCGATCACTCCCCTCTCCTCCAGGTTACCTTTGCATGCATGCACACATACCGTTACATCACAAACATACCTCTGTGGTGTTCCTGCTGCTTCCACACGACTGGCACCCAGGGCCATGGCGATCACTCCCCTCTCCTCCAAAGCCACCGAAACCACCAGCAGCAGCATAACCATCAAAACCGCTGCCACCACCACCACCTCCCCCAGGTGCACCTCCCCCAGAGCCACCCGCCGCAGTGGCGATGAGGCGGCAGGCAGAGCAGACAGTAACGGCGGTGGCGTCTGAGAGGAGCGAGAGGCGCTCAGAGAGGGAGTGCGCTGCCCCGTGAGCCACCATGCAGTCTCTCTCCATCTCCCCCACCCGCATGCCCCCCTGCTGCGCCCTGCCCTTGGTGGGCTGTCGGGTAGTCATCTGCAAGGGGTTGGAAGGGATTGTGTGGGGTTGGAAGGGATTGTGTGGGGTTGGATGCGGTGAAAGAGAAGGGAAAAGGGGGTCAGGAGAGAAAAAAAGCAGCCAAAGCAGCGGACAGCGACAGCGGTGTCGTCTGAGAGGAGCGAGAGGCGCTCAGAGAGGGAGTGCGCTGCCCCGTGCGCCACCAGGCAGTCCCTCTCCATCTCCCCCACCCGGATGCCCCCCTGCTGCGCCCTGCCCTTGGTGGGCTGTCGGGTAGTCATCTGCAAGGGGTTGGAAGGGATTGTGTGGGGTTGGATGCGGTGAAAGAGAAGGGAAAAGGGGGTCAGGAGAGAAAAAAAGCAGCCAAAGCAGCGGACAGCGACAGCGGTGTCGTCTGAGAGGAGCGAGAGGCACTCAGAGAGGGAGTGCGCTGCCCCGTGCGCCACCAGGCAGTCCCTCTCCATCTCCCCCACCTGCATGCCCCCCTGCTGCGCCCTGCCCTTGGTGGGCTGGCGCGTGGTCATCTGCAACGAGAGGTGCATCATGGAAGTGAAGGGATAGTGAGGGATGGGATGCGGTGAGAGTGGGTAGACGCATGCTCCCTGCCCCGTGAGCCACCATGCAGTCTCTCTCCATCTCCCCCACCCGCATGCCTCCCTGCTGCGCCCTGCCTTTAGTCGGCTGCCTGGTGTTCATCTGTTGGGTGTTGGGAGGGATAATGAGGGATGGGATGCGGTGGAAGGGACGGGAGGGTGGGTAGATGCATGATGCATGCCACACACACCATTGCACCACACACACCACTGCACCACACACCACACTACTGCACCACACATCACTACATAGTACCGCACATCACCACATAGTACCGCACATCACCGGGGCTCACCTGTTTGGTCCCACTCGCCCGTGTGGCTCTCTTGTCAGCAGCAAGGTGCTTCAGACGCAGGTAGTGAGTGGGGCCCACAAACACGTTCCCGTCATTCCATCCACTCTGCTTTAGGACCCACACACACACCGCACACACCACTGAACCGCACAGCACCGCACATCACCGCATCTCACCTGCTTGGTCCCTATGGCCCTTGTGGCTCTCTTGTCAGCTGCCAGATGTTTCAGCCGCAGGTAGTGAGTGGGGCCGACAAACACCCTCCCCTCCATCTCTTGTCCTGTCACCCCACAGTACGCAATGTCTTTGCCCAAGTCAAGAGGAGAGTAGCCGCAACTGGAAGGAGGGATGGGTGAGGAGGGTAGAAAAAGGGTTGGTCTCAATAGCCTGTGTGGCTCGCTTGTCGGATGCCAGGTGCTTCAGACGCAGGTAGTGAGTGGGGCCCACAAACACTCTCCCTTCCATATCCCGCCCCGTCACTCCGCAGTGAGCAGCGTGCCCGCCCAAATCGAAAGTTGAATAGCCGCAACTGGTGGTAGAGAGAGACAGGGTTGACTTTTGAGTCGACTCAAAAGTCAACTCAGCGTGCCTGCCCAAATCGAAAGTTGAATAGCCGCAACTGGTGGTAGAGAGAGACAGGGTTGACTTTTGAGTCGACTCAAAAGTCAACTCAGCGTGCCTGCCCACATCGAGAGTTGAATAGCCGCAACTGGTGGTAGAGAGAGACAGGGTTGACTTTTGAGTCGACTCAAAAGTCAACTCAGCGTGCCTGCCCAAATCGAAAGTTGAATAGCCGCAACTGGTGGTAGAGAGAGACAGGGTTGACTTTTGAGTCGACTCAAAAGTCAACTCAGCGTGCCTGCCCACATCGAGAGTTGAATAGCCGCAACTGGTGGTAGAGAGAGACGGGGAAGAGGAGAGGACAGGGGCGCTATCAGGACAGAAGACAGGAGACATCTGATGCTAACATCTGATGCTAACATCTGATGCTAACATCTGATGCTAACATCTGATGCTAACATCTGATGCTAACATCTGATGCTAACATCTGATGCTAACATCTGATGCTAACATCTGATGCTAACATCTGATGCTAACATCTGATGCTAACATCTGATGCTAACATCTGATGCTAACATCTGATGCTAACATCTGATGCTAACATGTGATGCTAACATGTGATGCTAACATGTGATGCTAACATGTGATGCTAACATGTGATGCATGTCAGGATCTTTCTCACTGGTATTGGTGGTAGGGATGGGTGGAAGGGGGAGGTATCATGAGGAGCGTGGCAGTGGGAAAGGGTGGGGATGGGGTGGAAAGGGTGGGGATGGGGTGGAAAGGGTGGGGATGGGGTGGAAAGGGTGGGGATGGGGTGGAAAGGGTGGGGATGGGGTGGAAAGGTGTGGGGATGGGGTGGAAATATTGTACTCATTGGCAGAAAAGGGGTGAATTGTGAACAGCGAGCAGCCGCTGCTGTGCTTCACTCAGCAGGTTCGAGCCTTAGAGGTGTCAGAGGAGCAAGTGTAGAAGGAGGAGAGTGTGTAAGCAGCCAGAGAAGGAAGGGAAGCAGCCCGAGAAGGAGGGGAAGCAGCCCGAGAAGGAGGGGAAGCAGCCAGAGAAGGAGGGGAAGCAGCCCGAGAAGGAGGGGAAGCAGCCAGAGAAGGAGGGGAAGCAGCCAGAGAAGAAGGGGACGGATGTACCTGCGCAGCCGCTGCTGTGCTTCGGACAGAAGGTCCGACCCCCAAAGGTCCGAGGAGAAGGAGGAGATGCTCTTATTGCCGCTTGTCTCTTGCACGGGGGAGCATGCCACCTGACAAGAGACAAGCATGGATGAACAACAGACGACGGAGGGTGGAGGGATCCGGTAGGTATTGCTTCAAAAATCGACTCTGATAAAACACCGAGTGCGCAGCATGAGAGTCTTGTGGGAACCCATTTGAGTCAACGAAAAAATAGCAACAACGAAAAAATGTGCACGAACAGAGCAAGAAAAGATTGTGAGACCAGCGTATGTTTTTTGGAGAATTCTCAAAACAAACATACGCTGGCGAAGGTCTGTGCTGTCTGTTCTGTACCTTGGCGAAGAGTGCTTCCATGACTTGCCCCAATGTCATGCAGGAGGGCGCACCAGCTAACCGCCACGAGGGCAACACGAACCATCAGTGCATTGCGGTGCGATGCGGTGGAATGCGGTGCATTGCAATAAGGGCTGGTGCTGTCCGTACGTACCTTGGCGAAGAGTGCTTCCATGACTTGCCCCAGTGTCATGCGGGAGGGCAGCGCGTGTGTTGATCACCGGACCCAGTACCGCCCCTACTAGTGTTCCCACTGCTGTGGGTGCGGTGTAGTGCAGTGCAGCTCGGTGCGGTGCAGCGCGGAGATGACCGTACCTTAGCAAAGAGTGCTTCCATGACTTGCCCCAGTGTCATGCGAGAGGGCAGCGCGTGTGGGTTGATCACCAGATCCGGTACCACCCCTTGCAGTGCCTGTCCCACTGGTGTAGGTGCGGTGCAATGCAGTGCAAGGCAGTATATTGTGGTGGAGCATGGTGCAGTGCAGGATGGTGCTGTACATACCTTGGCGAACAGTGCTTCCATGACTTGCCCCAGCGTCATGCGAGAGGGCAGCGCGTGTCGGTTGATCACCAGATCAGGTACCACCCCTTGCGGGGCTCCCACTGCTGGGTGCGGTGCAGTCCGGTGCAATGCGGTGCATCGTGGTGCATTGCGGTGCGAGCTGGTGCTGTACATACCTTGGCGAACAGTGCTTCCATGACTTGCCCCAGTGTCATGCGGGAGGGCAGTGCGTGTGGGTTGATCACCAGATCAGGTACCACCCCTTGCGGGGCTCCCACTGCTGGGTGCGGTGCAGTCCGGTGCAATGCGGTGCATCGTGGTGCATTGCGGTGCGAGCTGGTGCTGTACATACCTTGGCGAACAGTGCTTCCATGACTTGCCCCAGTGTCATGCGGGAGGGCAGCGCGTGTGGGTTGATCACCAGATCAGGCACCACTCCTAGTGGGGCTCCCACTGCTGCAGCGCCAGCAGCAGTTGAATTTGCATTTGCAGGAGCACCAGCACCAGCAGCGGCAGCACTGGCAGCACCAGCAGCAGCACCGCCAGAAGCACCAGGGGCTTTAAAAGAGGAACTGATTCTGGCAACGGCATCGAACCAGGGCAGGTCGTGGGAGGGCAGCACGCGGCCAATCACTCCCTTCTGCCCGTGCCGGCTCGTCAGCTTGTCCCCCACCTCTGGTCGGAGCGTGGCCCTCAGACGCACCTTGGGAGGGAAGAGAGAAGGGAAGGGAGGGGGAAGAGACCGTGGCAGTGTCTCTCAGAGACGCCAGCACACTAACCTGGCCCAATAACTCCCGTCTGGCCGTGCCGACTCGTGAGCTTGTCCCCCACCTCTGGTCGGAGGGTGGCCCTCAAACGCACCTAGGGACAGGAGAAAGTGGAAGAAAGTGGGTGGGGTGGGGGGAAGGAGATGAGAGGAGAAAATTTTGCAAAGAGCAGATTGAATCACAGCATGAAACGATGGCAAAAACAAGGGCGTGACTGCCATCAAGGGCGTGACTGCCATCAAGGGCGTGACTGCCATCAAGGGCTGTGATTGAGACTGCCACCTATATGGGAGTGATTTTTGAGAATTCTCAAAAATCACCCTGTGATTGAGACTGCCACCTATATGGGAGGGATTTTTGAGAATTCTCAAAAATCACCCTGTGATTGAGATTGCCACCTATATGGGAGTGATTTTTTAGAATTCTCAAAAATCACCCTGTGATTGAGACTGCCACCTATATGGGAGTGATTTCTGAGAATTCTCAAAAATCACCCTGTGATTGAGACTGCCACCTATATGGGAGGGATTTTTGAGAATTCTCAAAAATCACCCTGTGATTGAGACTGCCACCTATATGGGAGTGATTTTTGAGAATTCTCAAAAATCACCCTGTGATTGAGACTGCCACCTATATGGGAGGGATTTTTGAGAATTCAAAAAAATCACCCTGTGATTGAGACTGCCACCTATATGGGAGGGATTTTTGAGAATTCTCAAAAATCACCCTGTGATTGAGACTGCCACCTATATGGGAGTGATTATTGAGAATTCTCAAAAATCACCCTGTGATTGAGACTGCCACCTATATGGGAGTGATTTTTGAGAATTCAAAAAAATCACCCTGTGATTGAGACTGCCACCTATATGGGAGGGATTTTTGAGAATTCTCAAAAATCACCCTGTGATTGAGACTGCCACACACCATGACTGCCATGTCGCATGGCGTGACTGGTCCGTGTCCATGCGAGCAGCGTCCACTATTCCGCCTCCCCCTTCTACCCAGAGACTGACTGTCACAACCCCAGACTCGCGTGAGAGGGTGAGACTCACCCTCCCCAGCCGCGTGCCATGACTGTCCGTGTCCATGCGAGCAGCATCCACTATGCCACCTCCCCCCTCCACCTGAGACACCATGAGATTACGCACTTTTTCCTCCTCCCCTGTGGCAGTCAGGCAGGGCGGCTGGAGGGGAGAGGATGGGAGAGAAGGGCGGGATGCGGGGTGAGGAGGCGACATGCAAGCAGCGCCCACTACGCCGCCTCCCCCTTCTACCTGAGACACCATGAGACTACGAACCTGGGACACCATGAACCTGGGTTCGTCCTTCCCCTTTCCCCCTTCCCCCATCCCCCTTCCCCCCATCCCCCTTCCCCCCATCCCCCTTCCCCCATCCCCCTTCCCCCATCCCCCTTACCCCATCCCCCTTCCTCCATCCCCCTTCCCCCATCCCCCTTCCCCCATCCCCCTTCCCCCATCCCCCTTCCCCCATCCCCCTTCCCCCTGGCAAGCGGTTCGTAGTCTCATGAGAAGGAAGAGGCGGGGCGGTTGGAAAGAGGGAGCGAGAAGGAGTGGAGAGGGGAAGTCCAATCGAACCCCATTTAGAGGCCATGGTTCAATACGTGTGCCATTGTAACGAGGTGACTTTTGAGTCGAATCAAAAGTCACTTCGTAGTCTCATGAGAAGGAAGAGGCGGGGCGGTTGGAAAGAGGGAGCGAGAAGGAGTGGAGAGGGGAAGTCCAATCGAACCCCATTTAGAGGCCATGGTTCAATACGTGTGCCACTGTAACGAGGTGACTTTTGAGTCGACTCAAAAGTCACTTCGTAGTCTCATGAGAAGGAAGAGGCGGGGAGGTTGGAAAGAGGGAGCGAGAAGGAGTGGAGAGGGGAAGGGTAGAAGCGGGGAGTGGAAAGAGGAGAGACGGTGTTAATGCAGTGGAGAGCTGGAAAACTGCTTGTTCCTTGACATTGTTTTGGCTCTAGACATGACCCTAATATGCACGACTTTGGACTCTAGATATGCATTCACCCTAGCAAAATGCCTTTGCACCCACCCCAGCAAAATGCCTTTGCACCCACCCCAGCAAAATGCCTTTGCACCCACCCCAGCAAAATGCCTTTGCACCCACCACAGCAAAATGCCTTTGCACTCACCCCAGCAAAATGCCTTTGCACTCACCTCAGCAAAATGCCTTTGCACTCACCTCAGCAAAAACGTTTACTCACCCCAGCCGCCACGTGGCCAATCAGAATAGCTCTCTCCCTCCCTCCAAACACACCTCGATCCGCCACACTCCTCCCCCACACCCCCGCGCTCCCTCCCCCTACGCCCGAGCTACAGTAAACCCTAATCCCTGCCGCCTTCTTTCCCGTTGCCCCCTCCACTGCGCCTGTCCCTCCTGCCCCTGCTCCCCCAACCTCCTCCCCTGTCCCCCCTGCCGCTGCTCCCCCAACCTTCTCCCCTGTCCCCCCTGCCGCTGCTCCCCCAACCTCCTCCCCTGTCCTCCCTGCCGCTGCTCCCCCAACCTCCTCTCCTGTCCCACCTCCCCCATTACCCATCCCCCCTCCCCCATTACCCATCCCCCTTCCCCCATCGCCCATCCCCCCTCCCCCGTCACCTGCTCCCCCAACCGCCTCTCCTGTTGCCCCTCCCCCATCGCCCATCCCCTCTCTCCCAGCGCCTGTTCCCCCCCCAACCACTTCCCCCGGCCACAGCAACGGGTGGCCCACTTTTGGAAGCCCATTCTCTTCCAGATGATCATATTGCGACCATCTCTTAGGCCGCTCCTGCCGCTCCCTCCGCTCCCCATGATGATCTCCTCGGCCCCCTCTCCTTCCGCCTCTGCCTTCCCGGAATTCTCCGTCTCCTCTTCCCCTCCCCCTCCCCCTGCCCCTGCCCCTGCCCCTGCCTCTTTCGCTCCCCCCAAAGCTTCTCCCCTCTTCATCTGCCCCATCTCCTCCCCCACCTCCTCCCCCATCTCCCCCCCATCCGCCTCCCCCTTCTCCCCCCCATCGGTTCCCCCCATCTCTATCTCCCCTGAACCCACGCTCTCCCCCCCCTCCACCTTCCCCTTCTCCACCTTCCCCCCAACCGCCTCCCCCTCCTCCCCCCCATCCACCTCCCCCCAATCCGCCTCCCCCCCATCCACTCCCCCCTCCTCCATCTCCCCCTCCCCCGTCACCCTGCTCCCTGTCTCCCCACGAATCGTTTCCCCTCCCCCTTCCCCTTCCCCTCCCGCGACCCCTCCCCCTTCCTCCCCTCCCCCTCCACCCCCTTTCCCCCCCTCCTCCCTCATCTCCCCCGTCCTCTCTACCTCTCCACCCATCTTCACCTCCTCTTCCGCCTCCCCACCCATCCCCACCACCCCCTCCTCCTCCCCACCCGTCCTCTCCATCTCTTGTGTTCCCACCAGCCGCATCACCCTCACTCTGCCCTCTCTCCTTACCCCAACCTCCCCCGCCCCACCCTCCTCCCCCTCCCCCTCCTCCTCCCTCTCCTCCTCCTTTCTCTCCCCCTCCTCCTCCCCATCCCCCCTCTCCACCACCTCCTCCCCACCCCCCTCCTGCCTCACTCCCACCAACACCAGCGGCAGCATCGCCCGTACCACCCCAACCACCCCCACCATCACCAGCACCATCAGCACCCTCAGCCGTACCACCCCAACCACTCCCACCACCACCAGCGGTAGCATCACCACCCCAACCACTCCCACCACCACCAGCGGCAGCATCACCACCCCAACCACTCCCACCACCACCAGCGGCAGCATCACCACCCCAACCACCCCCACAACCACCAGCACCATCAGCACCATCACCCCTACCACCCCAACCACTCCCACCACCACCAGCAGCAGCATCAGCACCACCCCAACCACTCCCACCCTCACCAGCAGCACTACCACCAGCAGCAGCATCACCCGCAGCAGCAGCACCACCCCAACCACCCGCACCATCACCAGCGGCAGCACCATCACCCCAACCACTCCCACGAGCACCACCATTACGAGCAGCACCATCACTGCCCCAACCACCCCCACCCTCACCAGCAGCACCACCACCAGCTGCAGCACCTGCACCACCCCAACCACCCCCACCACCAGCACTACCACCACCTACGGCATCACCCGTACCACCCCAACCTCCCCCACCTCCTCCTCCTCCCCTTCCTTCCCTTCCTCCCCCTCCTTCCTCTCCTCCCCCTCCCCCCCATCCTCCCTCTCCTTCCCCTCGCCCCCCTCCCCCACTGCCATTCAACTCACCACCCTCGTCACCCTCCTTATCATTTGCACCCCACCCCCCTGCTTGTGTTGCTGCTGCTCCTCCTCCCTCTCTTCCACTATTCTCCTCCTCACCACCCCGACCCCCTCCTCCGCCCACCCTGCCATTTAACCCTCCACAATCGTCCCCTTCCTTGTCACTTGCACCCCAGCCCACTGCTTCTGCTGTTGCTGCTACTCCCTCTCTTCCTCTATCCTCCTCCTCTCCACCCTCCTCACCCCAACCACCCCCACCACCAGCATCAGCAGCATTAGCAGCACCATTCCCCCACCCACCACCACGACCAGCAACACCAGCAGTATCACCACCATCGTCACCAGCAGCACCCCACCCTCCCCCTCCTCCCCCTTCTCCACTGCCACTCAACCCACCACCACGACCAGCAACACCAGCAGTATCCGCACCAAAGTCACCAGCAGCACCACCATTATCAGCGCCAATAGCACCAGCAGCAAGACCCCAACCTCCCTCTCCTTCCCCTCCGACCCCTCCTTCACTGTTATTCATCCCGCCACCCGCGTCCCTCTCCTTGTCACTTGCACCCCACCCCCCTGCTTCTTCTTCTGCTACTGCCATTGCTGCTGCTCCTCCTCCTACTCTTCCTGTATCCTCCTCATTACCCCATCCACCACCCTCACCAGTACCACCACCCCCACCATCACCCTCACCACTCCCACCACCACCCTCACCATCACCCTCACCACTCCCACCCGCATTACCACCCCAACCATCCCCACCATCCCTACGAGCAGCAGTATCAGCAGCGCCACTCCCCCACTCGTCATCACGACCAACAGCATTACTGTTATCCACACCAGCGGCAGCAACAGCACCATCACCATCACCACCCTCACCATCACCATTACCACCACCCCACGCACCATCCCCATCCTCCCCACCATCAGCAGCACCAGCACGACCAACACCATCACTGTTATCCGCAGCAGCAGCAGCAGCAGCAGCAGCACCATGACCCTCACCCCATCCACCAACCCCACCCTCCGCCCTCTCACTTCCGCCCCACCCACCATTCCCACCCCCCTCCTTCTCACTCCTCTCACCCCACCCTGCTGCTGCTGCTTCTTCTCTTCCTCCTTCTCCTGCTGACCCTGACCCTCCTTGCTCCCCCCATCCACCCGTCGCTTGATTCACTGCCACGTCATCATCTTGCTTGGCCGCCACATTCTCATCATCTTGCCACGTGGCATCCTTCTCGTCAGCCTGCGCCATCGCCACGTCAGCATTATCATCATCTTGCGTAAGATCTATCGGCTCCGCCTTAGCTCGCAGAGGTCGTCCCTCGCCTTTTCTCCCTCTCTTTCCTCTACTCTGCCTATCACCATCACCAGCAAAGGCACTACCATCACCACCATTGGCACCACCACTAGCACCAGCACCACCAACATCATCATCACTATCAGTAAGACCATCCGCATCCCACCCCGCACGCCCAGCCTTCCCTGCAGCCGCCTTTCGAGGCGCCTCAGAAGTCGCACCACCAGCACCAGCAGCAACACTGGCACCACCAGCACCAGCACCAGCAGCACTGGCACCACCAGCACCAGCACCAGCAGCACTGGCACCACCAGCACCAGCAGCACTGGCACCACCAGCACCAGCACCAGCAGCACTGGCACCACCAGCACCAGCAGCAGCAGTGCCACCAGCAGAAGCACCGGCACCAGCAGCACCAGCATCATTATCGCTATCAGTAAGACCATCCGCGTCCCATCCCGCACGCCCAGCTTTTCCTGAAGCAGCAGCTAATCCCGCTCCTTCCCCTCCTCCCTCTCCTCCCATTCCTCCCCCTCCTTCCCCTTCCCCTCCGCCTCCTCCCCCTCCTCCCCATCCTCCCGTTCCTCCTCCTGTACCCGCCTCACCTGTCCCCCCATCCCCTCCCCATCCAGTGTCCCCATCTCCCCCTCCCCCTCCCCCTCCCCAACCTCCCCCCACCTCTCCCCCTCCCCCTCCCCAGCCTCCCCCCGCGTCCCACCCTCCCCCTCCCCAAGCCTCGGCCCCCCCCGTCTCCACCTCCCCCCCAACCCCCCTCTCCGCCCCCTCCTTCCCCATTCCCTCTCCCCCACCCCCCACCACCTCCCCCTTCCACTCTCTTCCCTCCCCACCCATCCGCACCCCCCTCTTCTACCTCCATCTCCCCCACACCAATTCCCAAACCAGCAGGCTCGGCTGCCCCGGGCCAAGCTGCACCCGACCCCCCGTCCAGGCTCGGCTTGCCGAACCTCCAGGTCACTTCCACCTTGCCCCGACCAGCCTTGCCCTGCCACGTTTAGCGAGTAAGAAAGAGAGTTTAGATGACAAGAATTGGGTAGGTAGGGTGACTGATTCTGCTCTTCCACGAAGCATCTTGAGACGTCTCAGAAATTGCCCTTCTGAGGCACATCTGCTGGTTTCAAACCTCCTTCGCCTCAGAGGCGTCACCACCATTGGCACCACCACGTCTATCTATACAGCTCAGCTCACCTCCTCTTCCACGAAGCTTCTGAAGGTGGTGCTGCCGAACAGCCCTCTGTCAACTGACGCCTGGTTGATGATCAATGCATCCTCCTGATGGGGGGAGAGGGGAGGGGATAGGGTTAGACAGCAACAGACAACAATGACATTTGAGGCGCCTCAAAAAACGTTCTCTGAAGGTGGTGCTGCCAAACAGCCCTCCGTCGACTAACGCCTGGTTGATGATCAACACGTCCTCCTGATTGGTGGGAAGGGAGGGAGGGTAAAGGGGAGAAGGGAAGAGAGGAGAGGATTGAGAAGGAACAACGAAGGCATTCATTGAAGCACCCAAACAGCCCAGCAGTGCAGTGCAGCAGCAGAGGGAGAAACGTACCCCCATGACACCCACTCGAACCCACCCGCACAGCATCAAACCAAGTTAAATCCCGCAGCACCGCACCGTACCTGGTTGTATCCAGCGCTCATCACGGCGACAATGGCATTCTGCCCATTGGGGAAGTCTGAAAGGCCACTGGCGAGCTCAGCAATTCTGGAGGCAACAAGCGGCCGCTGCGGGTAATGAAGAGTGAAGAGCGTGCGATCGGAGCGATGGGGGAGGTTGTACGCTGGCACGCCCATGGCCTGTAGGAGATGGGGTGGGAAGAGTGGAGACGGGTAGGGAGGAAAGGGAGACGTCAGGCAGACACACACACAGGCACCCCCGCGCTGTGGGTAGTGCAGAGGGAAGAGCGTGCGGTCAGAGCGATGGGGGAGGTTGTATGCAGGCACACCCATGGCCTGTGGGAGGAGCAGGGAGGAGGAGAAGGGGGAAAGAGGAAATAGGAAAAGCGGAATGGGGAGGGGGGGTTGGGGGCAGTGCAGTGCAGAACAAACCCATTGTGATTCACAAAAGGAAAAGTCGATGCAATCGCGTCAAACGTAAGCAAAGGATGGATATTTAACTAACTTTTAATCAAACCCTAAGATTAAGGAAGTGCCTCTTTCTGACACACCTGTTTGAACATGTGAGCAGCACCAGTGCTGCGAGAGACGCCATTGTGATTCACAAAAGGCAGAGCCGACGCAATGACTCCAAACACCAGCTCCGGATGAATCTCCGCGCGAAAGTAACGAGCAGACGCGAGAAGGTGAGCAGATGCGTTAAGGTCTCAAACATACCTGCTTGAACATGTGGGCTGCACCAGTGCTGCGAGAGACGCCATTGTGATTCACAAAAGGCAGAGCCGACGCAATCACTCCAAACACCAGCTCCGGATGAATCTCCGCGCGAAAGTAACGAGCAGACGCGAGAAGGTGAGCAGATGCGTTAAGGTCTCAAACATACCTGCTTGAACATGTGGGCTGCACCAGTGCTGCGAGAGACGCCATTGTGATTCACAAAAGGCAGAGCCGACGCAATCACTCCAAACACCAGCTCCGGATGAATCTCCGCGCGAAAGTAACGAGCAGACGCGAGAAGGTGAGCAGATGCGTTAAGGTCTCAAACATACCTGCTTGAACATGTGGGCTGCACCAGTGCTGCGAGAGACGCCATTGTGATTCACAAAAGGCAGAGCCGACGCAATCACTCCAAACACCAGCTCCGGATGAATCTCCGCGCGAAAGTAACGAGCAGACGCGAGAAGGTGAGCAGATGCGTTAAGGTCTCAAACATACCTGCTTGAACATGTGGGCTGCACCAGTGCTGCGAGAGACGCCATTGTGATTCACAAAAGGCAGAGCCGACGCAATCACTCCAAACACCAGCTCCGGATGAATCTCCACGTGGGAGTAGCGAGCAGATGCATCCCAACCAGGCGAGTCTTGAAGAAAGGATGACAGAGACAGAGTAGAGTCTGGGGATTGCTGCCTAGCACTCCGTGCTGCTCCGTTTTCATCCCATGGGCTTGACACGACGAGTCCCAGGCTGTGCTGTTCAGCAGCAAGGAGCGGTTCTGCTGGAACAGGGTTGCAGTTAGCCGCCTCCTCTGCTGCATCTACGTACTCTACTGCTCCTGCTGCGAGCATGCCCTGCCATGCCTGCTCCCACGTGTGGCTGTTGCTGCTGCTGCTGCTGCTGCTGCTGCTGCTGCTGGTACTGTGCGGCAGGTCGATGGGTGGCTGTTGCAGCAGCAAGGGGCGGAGGATGCGACCAGGGGAGGAGGCGAGGTGCAGGGCGTGCAGGGCGGGGTGAAAGGCCATGCCCAGCTGACAGGGAGAAGGAGAGGGTGGGGGGAAGTGGAAAATACGAGTTAATGCACAGGGAGGATGTGACCAGTGGAGGAGGCGAGGTGCAGGGCGGGGTGAAAGGCCATGCCCAGCTGACAGGGAGAAGTGGCAGAGTTGGGGGAAGGAGGCAGGGGGGAAGGATGGGAGGAGGGGAAATGGGAAAACACATGAGTCAAATGCATGGTGACCACGTTGAGATGGGAGGAGGCGAGGTCCAGGGAGTGCAAGGCGGGGTGATAGGCCATGCCGAGCTGACAGGGGGTGCAGGGGAGTGAGATGACACGGTGAAGTAGGGTGAAATGCGGTGAATAAAAAAGGGAAAGGTGAAAAGCGGTAACAAGAGAAGAAGGGGAGAGACCAGTGAGTAGTAGAAGGTTAGGTTTAGAAGCAGTCATACGGTAGTAGCTGGATTATACAAGGAAAGAAACAAGGGAAGTGGGCAGAAAGGGAATAGACACACTTCTCTGTATCTCTTGGCGCCCTTTTGTCTTTTCCTCCTCAGCTGCCTAGTCAGCTCTGCCAGGTCAGCATGCCACCCGACTGGCCGCCCATTCACCCACACTCCTCCTCCTCCTCCTCCTCCTCCTCCTCCTCCTCCTCCTCCTCCTCCTCCTCCTCCTCCTCCTCCTCCTCCTCCTCCTCCTCCTCCTCCTCCTCCTCCCTCACCCTTATTTCTCCTCCTTGCTCCTCCTCCTTCACCCTTGTTCCTCTCTGTTAAATGCTCCAGTAAGACCATGCCACGTGTCTGCAGCTCCTTCACCAGCCACCAATCACCAAACGACACGTCACCTCTCACATCCGATCCTGTATGGCCCTCCTTGGATCCATCCATCCCCACACCTTTCTCCTCACGCCCCTTCCGCTCCCCCTCTCGGTTTCCCTCTCCGTTCCCCTCTCGGTTCTCCGAAGCAAAAAGCTTGTCAGCACCGTCAACAATATCATCCAAAGCCCAAACGTCCTCATCATCACCACTCTCAACCGCTCTGGCATGAGTATCACCACCACCACAAGCACCAGCGTTGGTCCCTGCCCTTCCTTGCTGTCCCCCTCCCCCATTCCCTCCTCCCCCATCTGCCTTCCCTGCTCCTCCCCCTTGCCCGCCCACGCCCTCTCCTTCCTCTTCTTCTGCCTTTTTCTCTTCCTCCTCCTCTCCCCCTTCCCCAGAGACGCAGGTAGCAAGGGCAAGGTTGAGGGAGAAACCTATCGCCTCGGACTTGGGGGTTTCCAACGGGCAGATGCGACCAAAGAATGTCGCATGGCTGGGATGGGGTGGGGGAGAAGGGGGTGAGGAGAGGGGGGCGGAAAGGGGAATTACAGAGGGGGGTTCTTTAGAGACGCAGGTAGCAAGGGCTAGGTTGAGGGAGAAACCTATCGCCTCGGACTTGGGGGTTTCAAGTGCGCAAATGCGGTCAAAAGAAGTCGCATGGCTGGAATAAGGGGGGAAGCGGGGGTGGGGTTTGGGAGGTGGGGGGGAGGGGGGGCATACGTGGAGAGGGTGCATTCAAGAAGCAGCTCACATCTGCTGGGCAGCAGCAGAGGTGTTGGCTCGATGAGAAGGCACCTCCATCCTCCTCAGGTGTGACAGTGCCGCTGCCGCACACAGCCAACAGTCTTCAGGACTCAGTTGGAGGAGCAAGAGACTCACATTTGTCTAGCAGCAGCAGAGCTTTTGGCTCTGTGAGAAGGCACCTCCATCTGCCTCAGGTGTGACAGTGCCGCAGCAGACAGCCAACAATCCTTGAGATGAGAGTTTTTCGCAAGTGCATTCAAGAAACAAGCAACTCACATCTGTCTTGCAGCAGCAGAGGTGTTGGATCGATGGGAAGGCACCTCCATCCTCCTGAGCTGTGACAGTGCCGCCGCAGCAGACAGCCGGTTGAGTGGCTCACTCGCATGCAGACTGCTGCTGCTCATCCCATACCACCCTCCGCCGAACCTTCCCTGGCTGCCGCTGCCGAACCTGCCGCCTTTGGCTCGGCCGTAGCTCCCGGGCCGGTGCCAGTTTCCAGTTGCTAGAGCCGGCTGGAAGCAAGGGGAGGGATAGGAAACAGAGTAAGCGAGAGGGTGAGCTAGTGGGCGGGTGAGTGAGTGAGCGAGTGAGTGAGTGAGTGAGCGAGTGAGTGAGTGAATGAGTGAGAAAGCGTGAGTGAGGGACAGAGTGATTGAAGTGAGTGGCACTGCAGTGCAGTCCCTTCAGATACCCCAGTAGCCGCTCCCTCCCCGCATTGGCATTGCAAGTACAGTCTGATTTTGATCCCTCAACTGCACGATTAACCCTTGAAACTGAATATTCTGTTACCTGTTTGACTTTTGAGGCGCCTCAAAAGTCGACCCTTGAAACTTTTGTTACCTGTATGACTCCACCAACTTTGGCTAACCCCCTCTTTCACTAACCCTCTCTAGGGATGAGCAAGTGGCGAACACGAACGTGTTCGTGTTCGCCCCTACACGAACACCTTCGTTTGCCGAACCGAACAGTGTTCGTGAAAAAAAAAAAATGGTGTTCGCCGTTCGCCTGTGAAGGCGTGTTCGGGCGAACCTCGAACACTGTTCGTGTTCGTCGCGGGCAAATTGCAGCAGCGGCCCGAACACGAACGTGTTCGGGCGAACATCGAACACTGTTCGGCGAACATTTTAAGCCAAAAAAAAATACCTGTTCGGTTCGCCTCGAAGGTGTTCGTTTTTTTGCTCAACCCTAACCCTCTCTTTGTCGATTATTGAGTCGACTCAAAAGTCAACTTCTCACACCAACTTTGGCTGACTGACTGACCCCCTCTGTGACTAACCCCCTCTTTGGCTGAACCCCTCTTTGTCTGACCCTGCTTTCACTCACCTGCTTTCACTCACCTGCTTTCACTCATCTGCTTTCACTCACCTGCTTTCACTCACCTGCTTTCACTCACCTGCTTTCACTCACCTGCTTTCACTCACCTGCTTTCACTCACCTGCTTGCACTCACCTGCTTTCACTCACCTGCTTTCACTCACCTGCTTGCAATCCCTGTTGACAAAAGCGCGGTACGGCAGCCGCTTCAGATACCCCAGCAACCCCTCCCTCCTCTCCCAACATGCACATGCACTGTCTGAACTGAACAGCGGTGTTCCATTCCATCCAATCTGCCCCCTTTCACTCACCTCCAACCGCAGTGATATGCAGTCTTTGTTCACAAATACGCGGTACGGCAGCCGCTTCAAATACCCCAACACCACCTCCCTCCTCTCCTCCCCCACTGCTGCTGCCACAGTCACCCCCCTCCCCTCCCTCCCCCACCCCATCCTCGTGCTGCTGACTGTACCACTGCTGACGTGGCTCCTGAGAGACCTGCTGACGTGGCGGGTGACCTCACGCTCGATCCACCAGCACAGGCTGTCCAGCCCTGCGACGAACTGGTCCTCCAGAAGCTTCCCGGAGGTTTCCACTTTGAGGTGCGTCAGGCTGCGAGGGTCATCCTGTGAGAGTTGATTCAAAGGAATTCAATGCGCTTAGTTAAAAGTTGAGATGGAATTAACTCAACAATGTAAATGGAAAAGGTGAAGCAGGTAGATGAGATTCCGAAGATAAGAACGAGTTAGAACTGCTGAATCTGGGTCGAATCTATTTTTCTATGTGAAGCATGTGGATGAGATCTGGATGAGATTTTTGAATAATCAATCAAAAGTGGCACAATCAGAGACAACTGCGCCTTGGCAGAGAGAAAGAGGTGCGGTTTCAGTCTGACCAGGTGCATCAACGCACAAAGTGATTAGAGCAACCTCAGAACTCACCGGAGGGGTATATCCAAGACAGGTGGAGCAGAGCCTTCGAGCCATGTAAGCAACAAACTGTGCCTTGGCAGGGAGAGAGGCGGGGCCGGAGGCGACATGTGGCAGCATGTCATTGGCCAGAAGCTCCCATGCAGAGAGCCTGTTGTTGTGAGTCAGAGACTCCAGAGAAGCAAGCGCAGCCTGGGAAAGGGTCGGTAGGGGATCAGTCAGTGAAAGGACCCGCCAGAGGGAAGAGAGACAGAGCAGGAGGCGACATGTGGCAGCATGTCATTGGCCGGGAGGTCCAATGCAGAGAGCTTGTTGTTGTGAGTCAGAGACTCCAGAGAAGCAAGCGCAGCCTGGGAAAGGGTCGGTAGGGGATCAGTCAGAGGCATGTCATTGGCCGGGAGGTCCAATGCAGAGAGCTTGTTGTTGTGAGTCAGAGACTCCAGAGAAGCAAGCGCAGCCTGGGAAAGGGTCGGTAGGGGATCAGTCAGAGAAAGGACCCGCCAGAGGGAAGAGAGACAGAGCAGGAGGCGACATGTGGCAGCATGTCATTGGCCGGGAGGTCCAATGCAGAGAGCTTGTTGTTGTGAGTCAGAGACTCGAGAGCGGCAAGAGGCGCCTTAGGGGGGTTAGAAGCGAGGGTTGGGGGAGAGGGGAGGAGGGATAATTCGAGGGAAAGGATGAGAGGTCAGAGGAGACTAAACCATGCAGCGCGGGCAAGACCATTCACAGTCAGCACCTATTAGAGTCCCACCTGTGATTGATGCATCAGTAAAGCATTCTTTCGTGTCTCACCTGTTGGTTGCTACTCCGGTTCTCTTCACACGTGTGCTGCAGCAGCTGCAGCACCTCCTGCTGCCGCCTCATCAGTGCTTGCGCTTCCTCTCCTCCTTCCATCCCTCCTTCCATCCCTCCTTCGCGCTTCCCTCCTTCCCTCTTTCCTCCCTCCTTCTCACCTTCTCCTCCCATTCCCCCATCAGCATCATCAGTAGAATCCCCACCACCACCACCAGCAACGGCAGCAGCAGCTGCTACACCATCAGCATCATCATCACTGTCATCTATGACAATGACATTCGCTGCTCTCTTGTGTCTCTTGGCCTTGAACCACGCACCCCTCTCCCCCTCCTCCTCTCCCTCCTGCTTTCCCTCCTCTCCCTCACCACCCTCCTCCTCTTCTCCTAATCCCGCCTTTCTTTCCATCCCTCTCCCCACACTATCGGCCCCCTTCCCTCCCCTCTCTTCCCCTGCCCCCACCATGCCCTCACTTTCTTTCAGTGGGTGCCCGAGAATCATTTCAAATATTTCCTTATCTGACCGAACTCCCAGGGCACGAAGGAAGAGGAAGAGATTAACCGGGCAGCTGAAATATGGGAGATGGATTTGAAGGATGCGGGAAGCGCTTGCGCTGGTTGCTGACGTGGCAGCTGCTGCAGCTGACATGGCAGTTGCAGGTGCTGAGCTGGCATGAGGTGGAACAAGAGCTGAACAGGTCATCCTCATCATCCTGCCAGCAAGCAAGACATTAGGAAGAAACTGGATGATTAGAGGAATGCAGGATGTATCGTACGTATGGGTTGAGTGGGATACCCGACCCGATAGATAGTCAGGACTCAGAAATACAAAAAAGGAATACAAAAAAGGAATACAAAAAAGGAATACAAAAACAACGATTGTTTATTATGCTTTCCAGCGCAAGATGGGAGAAGGGAAGGCTGGTGGATGGGGAAAGACATGCACAAACAGACCTTTACTTGTCAGGGCTTTCAAACATACGCGTACACACAACTTGAAAACCTTTACTTCACAAACATACCTTGTTTTTGCCCGTGGCCCTGCCTTGAGCCCTCCCATATCGTCCTCAGTAGAGACAACGGACGCCACCCACTCGTCCCTCCACGCTCCCGCCCCTTCTGCTGCCCCGCCGCCCATCGAGGCAGCTCTGGCAGCAGCAGAAGCGGACAGGGGAGGTGCAGGCTCGACGAGGATGGTGTTGGGTGCTTGCACGAGGTGGGGAATGACCACCTGTGGGTGTACAGGGGGAGCAGAGGTGGGGAGAAGGAATGATAGAGAGACAAGGCCGGAAGGGGGAGGTGCCGGCTCGACTCGACTAGGATGGTGTTGGGTGCTCGCACGAGCTGGGGAATGACCACCTGTTGGAAAGGGGAAGAGGGCAGGGAAAAGGGATGAAAGGGGAGGTGCCGGCTCGACTAGGATGGTGTTGGGTGCTCGCACGAGCTGGGGAATGACCACCTGTGGTGTGGGTGCATGCATGGATAGGGGATAGAGAGAGAGAGGGCAGACGGGAAGAGGGCAGATTGGGGAGGTGCAGGCTCAACGAGGATGGTGTTGGGTGCTTGCACGAGCTGGGGAATGACCACCTGTGGGTGAAAAGGTGGGAAGAGAGGGGTGAGGGTATGAGCATAAGCTGTATGGGAGATCGAATGAGGCCAAAATGGGAAAGATGCAGGCTCGACCAGAATTGTGTGTTGGGTGCGGTGCTCCTCACCTTCTCGCCTTCTCACCTTCTCCATCCCCTTAACAAAAAGTATCCTCCGCGGTCCTTGGGACACTCCTCCTATTGCTGAGTTGTATAGGTGATCGAATGAGGAGGAAAGGGGAAAGATGCAGGCTCGACCAGGATTGTGTGTTGGGTGCTGTGCTCCTCACCTTCTCCATCCCCTTCACAATGAAGTATGCCCCGCGGTCCTTGAGACACTCCTCCCCCTATTGAGTCACAAAAAACCCTCACCTCCTCTATCTATCCTGCGCCAACCTTCCCTTCACCATCCCTCTCCCTCCTCACCTTCTCCATCCCCTTCACAATGAAGTTTCCCCCGCTGTCCTTGGGACACTCCTCCGAGTGGAATAAGAAATCTGACCTCACCTCACCTCACCTCACCTCACCTCACCTCACCTCACCTCACCTCACCTCACCTCACCTCACCTCACCTCCCTTTCTCACCTTCTCCATGCCCTTCACAATGAAGTATCCCCCTCTGTCCTTCGGACACTCCTCCTTGCGCCACATGCCCTTCTCTGATAGGCCATTGAGGTGGCACGCATCAGACCTCAGCATCACAGGGACCGCCCCCAGATGCACCTCCCTCTCCACCCACTCCCTCACCACCCTCTCCTCCGCACTCTCCTCTGTACTGCCCTCCTCTTCCTTCTCCCCCTCCCCCTCCTCCTCCTCCCTTTTCACCTTAACCTTCTCCTTCGCTCCTGCTTTCCTCCAGGTCCATTGCAGGCCTTCATACCCCAGGTCAACATCATCATCCGCACCACCAGCACCACCACCAGCAGCACCATCAGCATCAGCTCCTGCAATACCAGCAGCGCCAGCAGCAGCAGAATCATCGTCATCCTCCTCGTCCTCCCACCGAACAAATCGTTTGCCGGTCTTGAGTGACCCTTTCTGCTCCGCCTGCTTCCTCCTCTGCTCTCTCCTCTGCTGCTTCTGCTGCCTGATAGCCGCCTGTCGCACCGCCTCTGGGGAGGGCCGTTCGTACCGACCGCTCTCCACCACTTCAAACACCTGTGACGGGGAGCGCATATGGAAGCATGAGTAAACAAACTGCTTGTGAGGCCCCTCTTAAGCTGCCTGTGAGGCCCCTGTACGGCAAAGTCAGCTTATCAAGAGAGTAATGGTCGTGCCCACCTCACTTCCAATCAAACCCCTGTGAGTAAAAGGTACGATACGATCCAGCTCTCTGGTGTGTGTCAAATTCCAAGCCTGACAAACCCAAGCTTGACAAACCCAAGCCTGACAAACTCAAGCCTGACAAACCCAAGCTTGACAAACCCAAGCCTGACAAACCCAAGCCTGACAAACCCAAGCCTGACAAACCCAAGCCTGACAAACCCAAGCCTGACAAACCCAAGCCTGACTAGGGAAAAGCGGAGCCTGACAAAGACATAGAGGGCAAAGCATTCCTATTCAAATATCCCCCAGCGCTGCACCTGGCTGGCTGCATTGGTGTTACTTTCGAGAATTCTCAAAAGTAACACCAATAAAAGCGGAGCCTGACAAAGACATAGAGGAACAATCATGACTTTTGAGGCAACTTTTGAGTCGACTCAAAAGCGGAGCCTGACCAAGACATAGAGGAACAATCATTCCTATTCAAATAACCCCCAGCACTGCACATGGCTGGCTGCGCCCTGAACCGCATTGCACCGCTTTCTCCACCCTCTTCGCCTGGATGCGCACAAATCTCCGCAAATCCCCACTCTACCCCCCATGCTCACGCAATGCTTGTCTAGAAAACAGCAAAACAGGAGCCCGGCTCAACCTCCTCCCCTCAACCTACTGCACCTTCCCGACAGCGCCCCCAACCGCACTGTACCCATCCATGAGACGCTTCTCTTCTCTCCATCCCCCTTCCTCACCTGAATGTGCAGCGATCCTCTCAGATCCCCACTGTACGTCCGATGCTCACGTTCCTCCCAACCTTCTGTACCTTCCTAACAGCGCCCCCAACCGCACTGCACCATCTTCTCCTCACCTGAATGCGCAGCGATCCTCTCAGATCCCCACTGTACGTCCAATGCTCACGTTCCTCCCAACCTTCTGTACCTTCCTGACAGCGCCCCCAACCGCACTGCACCATCTTCTCCTCACCTGAATGCGCAGCGATCCTCTCAGATCCCCACTGTACGTCCGATGCTCACGTTCCTCCCAGCCTTCTGTACCTTCCTGACAGCGCCCCCAACCGCACTGCACCATCTTCTCCTCACCTGAATGCGCAGCGATCCTCTCAGATCCCCACTGTACGTCCGATGCTCACGCCGCGCCTGGCTAGGAAATAGTGAGGAAGATTCTTTCACTTCCGGGTGTGAAAACCTGGGCCCTGGATTACTGTCAAACGAAGCTCCGTTCGAAAAGCCTCTGTCAGGATGCAACCCCCCCACTCCTTCCTCCGTTTCCTTTTCCTTCCCTTTCCTTCCGCTCTTTTTCAAGTCTTTCCTCCGCTTCCTCCCAGTCTTCCCTACCCTATCCCCATCCTCGTCATCCTCCTCTTCCGCCATCTTCACATCCCCATCCTCGTTGTAGTCTGCTTCGTTACCAGCCAGCGAGCTCGTCCCTGGTGCAGCAGCAGCAGCAGCAGTATCACCCAGAGTCTCTGTCCCGAAAGGATGAACAAGGGGGCGGGTGAAGACTGGGCCTTGGAGGAAAATACGGACGCCCACTCCCACTACCCGCGACGTCACACTTTCCAAATTGTGGTTGCGCGGGTTGGCGGGGGTGACTGTGTCGCTGACTTTCAAAGGGATGTGTATCTGCAAACGGAGAAGGTTCAAACAGCAGTACAGGCAGGGGACGGAAGAAACTAATGTGAATTGGCGCGAATTGGCAAGGGTTACCGTGTCGCTGACCTTCAAAGGGATGTAAATCTCCAGGGAAGGGTGGAGAGGGGGAGAGGGGGAGTTGAAGCAGCAGGACAGAGGAACAAAGGGGACAGACGGAACTAGCAGACGGGTTGAAACAGGGTTGGCAGGAGTCAATGTAGCGCTGCGAACTGCCAACTACGAGTTGACCCAGTGGTCACAACACTACAAGGCAGTGTCAAAGGGAGCGGTCTGGTGTCCCACCACTTGCACTCCTTCCTTCAATCGCTTCCTGCGCCGACTCCCCCGCATCGTGGCCGGCCACACACGTCGCAGGAAGCGATTGAAGGAGTGCAGGTGGTGGGAAACCAACCCGCTCCCTCTGACTGCAGCAATCGCCACGCCTTGGAATGACAACACCACTTTGACTGCGCTGGCTAGTGAGTCAACCCACAAAGTGTCTCACCTGAACAGGTCTGTGGCTGGCCACGATGCGAGGGATTCGGCGCATGAAGCGGTTGAAGGAGTCGATGTGATGGGACACCAGACACACTTCCTGTGACTGCGTTGACAAATAAGTCAACTCAACAAGACTCACCTGAACCGGCCTGTGACCAGCCACGATGCAAGGGAGGCGGCGCAGGAAGCGGTTGAAGGAGTCGATGTGGTGGGACACAAGCCCGCTTCCCTTGACTGCAGCTATCGCCACGTCTTGGAATGACAACACGGCTGGTGGCTTCTCCTGCTGCTTCTGCATCTGCTGCAGGAAATCTTCTGGTGCTGGTGCTGGTGCTGGTGGTGCTGGTGCTGGTGCTGGTGCTGGTGCTGGTGCTGGTGATGCTCCTGCCTCTCCCTCCGCCTCTGCCTCGTCCCCCTGCCCCTGCTGCATCTCTTGCTCCTCCTGCATCGCTTCTTGCGCCATCTCCTCTTGCTGCGTCTCAGTCCTTTTTTATTATTATTTTTATTAGCTGGAGTTTGCTTCAAAGAGCTGTGTTGGATATGGAGGGGTGAGAAGCAGGAGATATGTGGTGGTGCGGGATGACAAGCGGAGACGCGTGAAGATATGCAAAAAGAACATATGTACAAGATATACGAGGAGGGATGAGACGCAGCGGGTATGTGGTGGTGCGGGACGACATGCGGACAGCTGGATTTGACGTGTGAAAGGACGAGGAGGGACGAGAAGCAGGGGATAGGTGGTGATACATGAACTACAGAACGCGCGCCGCTAAGGCTCTAATTAAAGAATGGTGCATAACGGCAGGACGACTAACCATGTACGGAGAGTTACCGCACAGCTAGTTCCTCGTAAGACTGAATATGCCGCGATAAGAACGATAGAACAGGGAGGACAAAAAACCGACTGTGTACTTCAGGAGAAAATTTTGCGTGTCGCAGATTGTCAGGTGTTTGAACAATATTAATTTCAGCCACTGATGAAAAAAGGGCGCGCGAAATCGGGAAACGAATATTCTCGGCTGGAGAAGCACATCAGAGTAAGCACATCGTACAGAATTACAGAAAATGGCTCTGAAAGCAGTGCACAAAAGAAAGGCGCTGAAATTGGTTTCAGGGAGCTGTCATGGCCTGACTTCAATGCGGTTTGGTGAGATGCTGTGCGTGGAAAAGCGGTTTCCTTACAACCCAACAATTTGTCAGGTCTGGAAAATGGCTGCGGAGAGGGAGATTGTCAGATGTCCTTCGGCATTCTCAAGGTTCGCTGCATGTGGGGTGGGCGAGAGCATGCGGCGCAATTGTGACGGATTGTCCGTGCGAGAAGTTGATGCGACGTCGTATCACCGGTTTGTCCGTCGGAATTGTCCGGCTGTTACACTGAAAATTTTCGGAGAGCACGAACGCTGGCGAACCCCTTTCCGCGTAGCTGTAACCCCAGGATTTTCTGTTCCACTAGTGTCGGTGCTGGGAAACTCCAAAACTCTGAAGGATGCCCCCAATAGTGACCTGCAGCCTATCAAGTTGATTCGCGTGGTGGATGAGAAGAACCACGAACGCTCACCACTTGTTCGCGAAACGATTTCGTGCACACAACGATTGGTCAACTCTTTTCCATCGAGGTTCTAGATGGGCAGGAACTGATCCCAAGGCTATAAAACTGAACTTTTCCAAACTGATCCCGAGGTTGCCTGTACTTTTCAAAATTACCTCTCTCTAGTAGCTTCTCCTAGTCCATCTCTCATTGTCGGAATACCCTTTTTAGATACCAGATAGTTCTCAAAACACCGGCGCATCATGTCAGTCGGCTTTTAAATCACTAATCATCTAAACTTATCTAATCTGGGTGTGCATGACCCGACTGGGTCATCGCTAACTGACCTAAATTTGCAGCAGTATCAGCATTAGCAAAGTCTAAATCCGTGCATGGCCTCCGCGCCGAACGGCGGGACCGGCGGAGGCGTAGAGGCGGTCCAGTACGACGCGGGCACGGGCATTTACACCGTTAAGAACAAACCGTGGCCAGGTGCGTGGCGATTTTTTAGAGTTCTTCGGGAATTTCGGTCCGGTACGACGCGAGCATAGGTCGCGAGCACAGCAAGATGCGACTCAAGCACGGGAACGTAAACCGTCAGCAACAAGCTAGTCATGCAGCAGAAGTTTCGTGTCACTGGCACCATTCTCTTATAACCTCGGAATTTCATCCCTCCCTCCTCCTGCCCTTCCTTCCCCCTCTACCATCCTTGCTCCCGTCACATTGCAACAGTGGGAACTCGCTACACGGTGCACTGTCTGATTGGCTCTGGCTCATACGGAGATGTCTGCAAGGCCACTGACAATGAGACGGGCGAAACTGTTGCGCTCAAGGTGACTATAGCGGAATTGCTGTGCTGTCACATGCTGGCCAAGATAGTTTTTCCATATTCATTAGAATCGTTGCATTCCTCCCTCCTGTTAATCCAATTCCCTCTCCGTGTATTTGTGTGTGCATGTGTGTGCGTGTGTGTGCCTGTGATGTGATGTGATGTGATGTGGTGCAAACAGCGCATCGCGGATGTGCTGTGCTGCCCCATGCTGGCCAAGAGAGTGCTTCGAGAGGTCTGCATCATGCGCCGCCTCTCACACCCATACGTCATCCGATGTACGTAAGAACAAGGCAGATGTGAGGAGAACAACACGCCTCCAAGTGTATTAGCCCACCTCCTTTCCTCCTGCCTGCCCTTTTTCCCTCGGCCCCTTCATTATCCTCCTGTGTATGTACGACCCCTCCACTTCACCCCCCTCCTCACCTCCCCTCTCCCACCTCCCTTTTCCCAGTGGCGGACGTGTTCACTCGCAAGTCCACTGAGGTGCCGGGCGGATTCGACCTCTACATCGCCACGGAGTATGCCTCAGGGTAAGCCCTTCACTTCACACTGCCAGTATGCCTCCTCAGGGTAAGCCCTTCACTTCACACTGCCAGTATGCCTCCTCAGGGTAAGCCCTTCACTTCACACTGCCAGTATGCCTCAGGGTAAGCCCTTCACTTCACAATGCCAGTATGCCTCGTCCCTCAGAGGAAGCCCACCCCAGCCTAGCCTAGCCTGCCCACCTCCCTCTCAGTGGCGGACGTGTTTACTCGCAAGGCAACTGAGGTACCGGGCGGCTTTGACCTACATAGCCACAGAGTATGCCTCAGGGTAAGTAGTCCCTGTGATGCAGAGTGGTGCTGTACGGTTCAGAGGCGGATCATGGCTGCAGAGCAGAGTATGCCTCTCAGGGTGAGCCCTGTGCTGTGGTGACTGTTCGTGAGGCACTTCAAAAACTGGCCTATACCTCTCCAACCCAGGGATAAAATATGTTCCTCAGGTCAGGATAAGCCATAGTCCTAGACCTATGGCATTCGAACCGACTCAGAGGTCGATCCCGTCCTTTTCCCCTCCCTCTCCCCTGCCGTTCCTCTCTGCCTCCCCTCCCCCTGGTGGCGATCCGTATCAGTTCAAGCAGCCACTAACACCAGAGGATGTGAGGCGCTGATATGGCTTTTGGTCAACTCAAAAGTCTCCCCTGTCTCCTTTTCCCTTCCCATCCCTTCCAATTCCTAGTGGCGATCTCTATCGGTTTAAGCAGCCGCTAACACCAGAGGATGTGAGGCGGCTGATATGGCAGCTGCTGGTGGCAACTCGCTATCTGCACTCCTGCCATGTCTGGCACAGGTGGGTGGGTGCGTTTGAGTGGGTGAGGCCTCCCAGAGTAGATCTCTCAAAGGTATTGGTTCAAGCAGAGCAGCCACTAACACCAGAGGACGTGTAGAGGCTGATATGGCAGCTGCTGGTGGCAACTCGCTACCTGCACTCCTGCCACGTCTGGCACAGGTGGGTGAATGAAATGCGATCCCTGGAGTAAATTTACTGCTAGTCACCCGTCAGCCATCCCCAACTCCCCCCCAACCCAACTCCCACCCCAGCTCTCACGTCTGACGCCCTAATGCCCGTCCTTCACTCCCCCGCTTCCCGCCTTCCGCTCTCCCCTCAGAGACATCAAGTCTGAGAACACGCTGCTCCACGCCAACACCACCCTCTCTCCCTTACTGCCTCTTGTAATGCCCGTCCTTCACTCCCCCGCTTCCCGTCTTCCGCTCTCCCCTCAGAGATATCAAGTCAGAGAACACGCTGCTCCACGCCAACACCACACTCAAACTCTGCGACTTTGGCCTCTCTAGATCCGCCCTCGGGGTGAGTGCGTCCTCTTCTCCCTGCATCCCCACGGGCACATGACCCTCTCCTTCTGCTCTCACACGCCCCCTTCCTCTTATGTATCGTGTCTCCTCCTCCACGCCAACACCACACTCAAACTCTAAGACTTTGGCCTCTCTAGATCCGCCCTCGGGGTGAGTGCGTCCTCCTCTTCTCTTCCTGTCCTTGCCTCCTCAACGCTCACTTGCCCCACTCCTACTGGTCAGCCCCCCACTTCGTCTCCTCTATCGTCCACTCCCTCTCCCCCCACTCTGTCTTATCCCACGCTCGCTTCCCCGCACTCTCGTTTTACTCCCCTCCCTTGCTCCAACCCCCCATGAAACGGGTTCAGTCAGGGCAGCCGATGCAGCCGCGCAGTGGGCCGTGCTGGATGAGTCTATTCCTGAGGCGGACTGAAACCTAACCCCCTCCTCTCCCTCCTCCTCCTACCCCCTGTGCATCCTCCGAACACACTCCCGTTGCAGTCAGGGCAGCCAATGCAGCCGCGCAGTGCGCCGGACGAGAAGGGGGCAGCGGCGGGGAGGAAGCAGCACGTGCGACAGGATGGTCGTCACTTCCAGCCACAGGGCTCTTCATGCTGAATGGAATGAGTGTATCTCTGTCTGTTCCCCACCCGCTCTCACACATGTGCAGTCAGGGCAGCCGATGCAGCCGCGGAGTGCGCCGGACGAGAAGGGGGCAGCGGCGGGGAGGAAGCAGCACGTGCTGCAGAGGCAGTTCACCAAGATGGTCGTCACCCCCAGCTACCGCGCCCCTGAGGTGGTCATGTCGCGAGGCCAGTACACATCGGCAATCGATATGTGAGTTGTGTTAGAATCATGTGCCGTGTACAGTCTAGTTTAGTCTAGTCAAGCTGGAGCTGCAGAGGCAGTTCACCAAGATGGTCGTCACCCCCAGCTACTGCGCTCCTGAGGTGGTCATGTCGCGAGGCCAGTACACATCAGCCATCGACATGTGAGTCCCCTTTCCTGTCTCCCCCCTCCTCCTCTTTCTTCCTTTCTCCCCATCCTCCGTTCTCCTCTTCTCCCCCTTCTCTTTCTTCTCTCCCTTTCCTCTTACTACTCACAATTCATCTCTCCCTGTGTGAATCAACATTTTGATTGAAGGCGCTTCATAACTTATCAATCTCCTGCTTCTCCCCCTCTCCCTCCCCTCCCTTATCCCCGCGCCACTGTACCGTTCATCCCTCCCTGCATTCACCGGGGTGCCACTCACATGGCTCGCTCGCGCGTGCACGGACCTCTCCTCTCTTCATCCCGATTCAGCTGGTCGCTCGGCTGTATATTCTGGGTAAGCTTTTCGGCCCAAGAGAGCTCTTTTTAGAACTCCTTGCAGAACTCCTTTCTCCAGTGAGCACTGGAGGAGTACTATTCTTCTAGAAGAGCAGATTCTATGTGGATGCACTTGTATAGGCTTCGAGGCTCACTGAATCCCTTCAGACGTCTACAGAGGCTTGTCGAAGCACTTTTTCCCCCTTCCCCCCACTTCCCCCCGGAACAAACAAAAGACCTTCTTCCTCCTTCCTCCCTCCACCTTCACCCCCTCCTCCTCCTGCTCCTCCTTCCCCCTCCCTTCCTCAGGAGCTCCTAATGCGAGCCATGCGCCCCCATCGACCAGGGCCCCCATCAAGACCACTGTTTGGCATCAGGTGAGACTCTGTTGCCATCAGGTGTGCCTCTGTTGCCAACAGATGGTCCTGTGTGGCCGTCAGGTGGATCTCTGTTGCCATCAGGTGAACCTCTGTTGGACAACAAGTGGCCTCTTGCTGACCACCTCGACACGAAAAGCTATGTCATCGGTCCTTCTATGTCGCTGTTGCCCCTCTACATCGACACTTCCTTTTCCTTTTTACTCCTTCCGAGTATGCTACGAACACACAAGGGCAAGCCGGTGACACCAGAGAATGGCTCATGTGGTGAGTGATTCACACTGAAGCATACTTGCATGCGAAGGTGCATGAAATGATGAAATCGAATGCATGATGTAAAAGATTGAGATGGCAGAAAGATATCTCTTTGTCATTTCAATCTTTTACATCATGCATTCGATTCCATCATTTCATCCACCTTCGCATGCAAGTATGCTTGGGTGTGAATCACTCACTACATGAGCCGATTCCCCACGGGAGAAGTACGTGGATGACGAGTCCCCACTAGCCGACCACTCTCCTCTTACACTTCCTTACACAACAATTCCTTACACTTCCTTCCCTTCCACAACAATTTGCTCCCTTGAATCACAGGGGCGAGCCAGTGACACCGGAGACAGGGGAGAAGAATGTAGACGACAACGAGTCGCCACTAGCCACGTGAAAGAAGGAGTGTTTTGAGACGTCTCAAGACAGGGGAGAAGAATGTAGATGACAATGAGTCGCCACTAGCCGACCAGCTCGACGAGATATTCGATGTCATCGGCACGCCCTGCTGGAAGGACATTGAGAGCGTCCCCAGCGATGCCTGGCGGGTGTACCCCAAGAGACTTTTCTGTACTGATTCCTTTCTGTTATTTCCTGTTCTGTTTTGGTTTGCTCGACAGGGGCGAGCCAGTGACCCCAGAGACAAGGGAGAAGTATGTGGATGACAATGAATCTCCCCTAGCCGACCACTCTCCTCTTATGTTCTAGTCCCTTACACTTCCCTCCCTCCACAACAATCTGCTCCCTTCATCACAGGGGCGAGCCGGTGACACCAGAGACAGGGGAGATGTATGTAGACGACAACGAGTCGCCACTAGCCGATCAACTGGACGTGATCTTCGATGTCGTCGGCACTCCCTGCTGGAAGGACATTGAGAGCGTTCCCAGCGATGCCGGGCGGGCGGGCGTTCCTCAAGAGACCTTGCTGTGAAATTCCACTCTGTTCTGTTTTGTTCCCTTTTCGTGTGTGAATTCCTAACCCCTGCATCACAGGGGCGAGCCAGTCACCCCGGAGACAGGGGAGAAGTACGTAGATGACAATGAATCACCCTTATCGGACCAGCTCGACGTGATATTCGATGTCATCGGCACGCCCTGCTGGAAGGACATTGAGAGCGTTCCCAGCGATGCCTGGCGGGCGTTCCTCAAGAGGCTGCCGGGGCGGGCGGGCAATCTGGCCAATCAAATGGCGCCATGTGGCGATCCCGAGGCCGCGGATCTGCTCCATCGCATGCTGGCGTTTGATCCCTCCAGGCGGTGCACTGCAGAGGAGGCACTCGCTCACACTTATGTACGTGTAGTGTCGTGCATAGATGAGTGTGCCCTGCCGCTTTTCTCTCCTCACACACCAAACCCAATTCGTAAATCTTAAAGCCCGAGGCTGTCGATCTGCGCTATCGCATGCTGGCGTTTGATCCGTCCAGGCGCTGCTGCACTGCGGAGGAGGCTCGTGCTCACACTTATGTAAGTGTTATTGTGTTTTGATGCCTCTTATTTGTAGAAGCCAGACAGATTCCCCTGGCGCTTTGATAGTCAACCCACAAGCTGCCTTGGCTTTGGCCTTGGCTTTCTCGTCTCTGTCTAGTCCACCCCTCCCTCCAAACCTCCATCCGTCTGATTCTGACCCCCCAACCTTTCCAGTTCCGCAGCCTCGAGAAGCCCATGGAGCTGCCACCCATGGAGGCAGAGATACTGAGAAGCAGAGGGCCCTTGAGAGTTGACTCAAGACCCATATTGTGTTTCCCAACCAGCTACCGCTCTCCATCTGACCCTCGACCCCTCCCAGTTCCGCAGTCTCGAGAAGCCCATGGAGTTGCCACCCATGGAGGCAGAGGAAACGCCCGTGTCTCTGCCGCAGGACCACCACTTCTGGCAAATAACTGACCCTGCTATCGCCCTGGGGCTGCTGGAGGTGCGTATGTGAGTGGGAATATGAGTGAGTGGGTGACTGTGTGCATGCGTGGCAGAGGAAACGCCAGTGTCTGCCACAGGACCACCACTTCTGGAAGATCACTGATCCTGGTAGAGCCCTCGGGCTGCTAGAGGTGTGCGGGTGTGTGCGTGGATACATGAGTGAGTGGGTGGCTGTGTGGGCATGTGTGTCAGAGGAAACGCCCGTGTCTCTGCCACAGGACCACCACTTCTGGCAGATCACCGACCCTGCCATTGCCCTGGGGTTGCTAGAGGTGCGTAGGTGTATGGGTGGGTGTAAGAGTGAGTGGGTGACTGTGTGGGCATGTGTGCTAGAGGAAAAGCCCGTGTCTCTGCCTCAGGACCACCACCTCTGGCAAATCATTAACCCTGCTATCGCGCTGGGACTGCTGGAGGTGTGTGCTGGGTGTGAGTGTGTGTAATTTGAATGAGTGGGTGGCTGTGTGGGCATGTGTGTTAGAGGAAACGCCCGTGTCTCTGCCTCAGGACCACCGCTTCTGGCAAATCACCGACCCTGCCATTGCCCTACTTCTCCTTCTGTCTCCTCTTGTTCTCCCAATCTTCCTCTCCCTGGTCACAAAGGGAGCAGCAGGCAGCATACGAGCCGGATGGGGGGAAGAGGAATTCGGAATGGCGTTTTATCCTCCTCGTGTTGCCCCTTTATCTCCCTCTCTCCTGCTTTTCCCCCCCTGATTCCTCTGGTCACAGAGGGAGCTGGAGCAGGCAGCATACGAGCCTGATGGGGGAAAGAGGAAGCTGGAATGGCTGCTCGAGAGAGAAGCAGAGGGGCAGCAGGTAAGGGCAAAGCACTTCAGGGTTAACAAAGGGGATGTAAGCAACAATGGGAACGGGGTAGTATATAGAGGGAGTTGGAGCAGGCAGCATATGAGCCGGATGGGGGAAAGAGGAAGCTGGAGTGGCTGCTCGAGAGAGAAGCAGAGGGGCAGCAGGTGAGGGGGGCAGCAGGTAAGGAGGGCAGCAGGTAAGGAGGGCAGCAGGTAAGGAGGGCAGCAGGTAAGGAGGGCAGCAGGTAAGGAGGGCAGCAGGTAAGGGGGGCAGCAGGTAAGGAGGGCAGCAGGTAAGGGGGGCAGCAGGTAAGGGGGGCAGCAGCAGGTAAGGGGGGCATTGGGTTAGGGCGAATCTCTTTTTGAAGGTAACCATGTCAGCACAAGGATGCAAGTCGACTGGGTTGGGCAAAGGTTCATCACTTGCCCACCCAGTTTGCACGAAGGTGCAAACACACGCATCTCCACTTCTTCCCCATTTGCGCATCCCCCTCGCCAAGTTCAGAACTTCAGTCGCAATACAATGATCTGCACGCTCCTAGGCTCACATGCCTTGGCCTTTCTTCACTCTCCTCCCCCTCCCGCTCCCTTCAATCTGCTCCCTGACCTCACTCCCCCCCCACCAGGTTCAGAACTTCATTCGCAACTCAATGCTTCGCACGCTCCTCGGCCCTCATGCCTTGGCCAATCGCCTCGCGACATCTGTCGGGGCACGAGTGGGGCGTGGCCAGCAGCAGCAGCAGCAGCAATTGCGTCAGCAGGAGCCACAGCAACAGCTGCAACAGCAGGGGCAACAACAGCAAGGGCAAGGGCAACAGCAACTGCAGCCGCAGCTCCAGAGTCAACTTCAGCAGCAGCAGGAGCACTCGCAGCAGCAGCAGCAGCAGCAGCAACAACAGATGGTAGCAGCAGGGGTGCAGCCAGGTATGTCTGGGGGAGGTTCAATTGGGGGGGTTGCTACTGGAGGGGTTGCTACTGGGGGAGGTGATATTAGAGCTGTTGGACTGGAGGCCACTGGAGGGGCAGGTAGTATACAGCAGCAGCAGCAGCAGGATCAGCAGCAGCAACTCCTCCTGTTATTGCTTCAGCAGCAGCAGCAACAACAACAACAGCAGCTGCAACAGCAACAGCGGCAACAACAACAGCAGCAGCAGCAGCAGCAACAACAACAACAACAGCTGCAACAGCAACAGCAGCAGCGGCAGCAACAACAGCAGCAGCAGCAGCAGTTAATAGAACAGCAGCTGCTACAGCAGATGCAAACTGCAATCGCCTCTTCAACTGCTACAGCCGCTACAGCAGGTGCAGCCGCTACAGCCAGTGCAGCCACTACAGCCATCCCTGCAGCAGCCAACTCAGTTGACCTGATTGCTAAAGTGCAACGCCAAGCCTTAAGGCTTCTTTCTGCTTCAGACCCTTCCCTCATCCCCTCCCTCCTCTCCTCCTCCTCCTCTGTCTCCTCCGCCTCTGCTCCTCCCCCCCGCCTCTCAAGCTCCCTAACTGCTGCTCTGCAGAGGAAATCGCGAATGGCTGCGACTGCTGCTGCTGCTGGCACTTCTGCTGCTTCTGCTGCTGCTGGCACTTCTGCTGCTTCTGCTGCTGCAACCGGTTCTGCTGTTACTGCTGCTGTTGAAAATTCCTGTGCTGCAAGTGATGGTGCTGCTGCTGGTGCTGCGGCTGCTGCTACCACTGTTACTGCTACTGCTACTGCCACTGCTGTTGGTGGTGCTGCTGCTGCCAATGATACTGCTGCTGCTGCTGCTGCTGCAGGCAGCACGAGGGGTGTGGGCGACAATGCAAGCGGTGCCTCAGATTTGACCTCTTCATCCCAAGCCATGACTGCCCTTCTAGAAGCGTACATGAGGCAGAAACAGCAGCAGCAGCAGCAGCAGGTACAGTTTGCGCCCAATCCCGCCGCTGCTGTTCACCAGCTGCAGGAGTCGCTCAGGAGAAAACAACAGAAGGCAGCACCCTCTCAGGTGCCACAGCAGCAGCAGGTGCAGGATCCAAGGCGGAGACTGCGGCAGCAGGGGCAGCAGCAGCAGCAGAAGCCATCTCTTTGCCTTGGTGTGGAAAACAGTCCTCAAAACATTCCCCCAAATGTAGCTCAAAACAATGTGGAAAATAATGCACAGAACAGTGCACAGGACTTGCAACTCAACGCTTCGTCTAAACTGAGTCAGGATGGTACTCAAGACCCCCAAGGCATTCAGGGTCTTCAAGACCCCCAAGGCATTCCCGGACTGGCAGAAGTGATGATGCCGCCCCGAACCATGATGAGGCTGCAGCAGCAGGGGGGGATGCACATGCAGCAGCAGTTGCAGCAGCAGTTGTTTCAGCAACAGGAGTTGCAATTGCAGCAGCAACAGTTGCAAATACAACAGCAACAGCAAGAGCTTTTGCAGCTGCAGCAGCAGGAACAGGAACAGGAAGGGCTTGAGAATCAAGGGGAGGAGGAGCAGCGGCATAAGCAGTTTCAGTATCAGCAGCAGTCGCAGCACTTCAGCTTTTTCCCAAGGACGAATTCCCCTTTTCAAGACCGAGGGGCAGGGGTATCGTCGGAATCTAGCCCCTCGTCCTTAGGATCAAAAAGAGGCGGGCGAATGGATATAATGGCCTCTGTGGCTGCAGCTGCGGTTCGGGCGGTCGATTCGGAGGCTGCAGCCCGGTCCATGTCAGGTACAGGTTCGGACGATTGCACAGGTGGAGTGGAAGTTCGGCAGGACACACCAGGTTCAGACAATTTGAGTTTGAACGCGTTTAGTGGGAGGATACGGTCCCGTTCTCCTTTGGGGACTGAAGCTGAGATGCCACAAGCAAAAAGGATTGCGAGAAGTGGCTTTAGCGAAGACGGTCAAGTGTGAAAAAAAGCTGAGTCGACTTAGAAAATAGCCAGGTGCATGAGCGAAGATGGTCAATTGTGAAACTAGGAAGGAAAATGAGGATATCACAAGACAACAAGATTGGTGTCAGTTGTGGTGTGTGAAAGATGTTTCTCTAACAAACTGAAGCACTAACACAAGCTGCAGGGACACCTTTTTGCTCACATTGTTGTTCCTTCTGATTTCACATGATCACCTTGCCAAAAAGGTCTGAATTGCAGCAAGCCTGGCCAAATGTTAGTTCTAGACAACTCTCCTTACAAATCTTTATCGGCATGGCCTACAGCGCATTATTTCTATATCGGATCAGCAGCGCCAGGATCCAGTCCAACTGACGAGTGGTAGTTCCAATGGGCTGATCAGCTCCCAGTCATTTTGTTCCTGTGCGAATTTCAAGCAAATGCTGCCGATGTTACACCAGCAGCATGTGTTCGAAGGCTTCTTCCGTGTTTTGTGGACCGTTTGCGTTGCGTTCTCGTTTAGTAGTTCGCAGAAATCATGACTAGAGCTCTGGCTCTGGCTTCATCTCGTCCCTGCCTCGAGTGCTCTCAGCGGCCGAAGATTAGTGGCGCATCTGCATGGTTCAGCCGTCCGATCTGATCGGAGCGGCTTCTCGTGGTCATGATTAGCTTCTCGTGAGAGATCGAAGGATCTTACGTGGGACGGTTGCGGGACGAGTGATAAGAGTCCCTCCAGTTCTTTTCCTGCCAATCGCATTTCGCGAATTCGACCAACTCACACGATCTCATTCCCAACCAGAGCGAATTCCGAGGCATCTCAGAGCTCAGTAAAGCGTATATTCACCCAATTTTACTATAATCCACGCCAGCAGCAGCGAGCAACCATGCGACGGCCACCGCCGATTCGGCGTAGACACCTCAAGCCTTGATTCAACAGATTCCATATTCAGCCACGCTTCTTCTCATTTCTGTTCACACCAGCAGCAGCGAGCAGCCATGCGACGGCCACCGCCAATTCAGCGTCGAGGGGCCTTCCAGGCACCAGGCGTCTCCGCGAAACTCTCTCTCTCCTCTTCATTCGTCACCACTGGCGGCGGCAGCGGCAGTGGTCTTAGTGGCATTGGCAGCTTTTTACCTTCCTTTTTGTCATGGAACCGTGATCGAGCCACGGCAGGAGCAACCACAAGCGGCAGTGGTGTCAGTAGTGGCAGCAGCAGGGACACGACGGGGGTATCTACAACCGGATGGCCGAATTTGAAGGGTACAGCACGGTTTTCACCTGTTCGCGGCTGGTTGTTCTCAGCTTCTAGCAGCAATCGCGGGTCTGAGAGCTCTCCGGGTTGGCTGGAGCGGGTGATTGGTGGTCTGCTGTTGGGCTTGCTAGCCTTGCTTCTGGTGGCCTCCGTGACTCTTCTGCTTCCCAAAAGCAGCAGCGGTAAGATGCCAGAATGGAGCGGGGGTGGTCTGTGACGTGCTGGTGGGCTTGCTCGCCTTGCTCCTGCTGGCCTAGGTGGTTCTTCTGCTGCCAAAGGGCAATCTAAGCAGCGGTAAGATGCCAGATTGGAGCGGGTGATTGGTGGTCTGTGGCGTTTCAAGGCAAATCCAATCTCAATCAAAGGTTCTGTTGCTTTCACTTTACCATTGTTTCTCACCCTGTTGCAGCAGGCACATCATCGATTGTTCCTTTCACACCGTCCCAGGCAGAAGCTTTGAGATGTCTCAAATTGCTGAGACATTCAACAGGTTCTGAGACGTCCCAAACTTGTTTCCACTTTCCCATTCTTATCCCCCACGTGCAGCAATCGCATCAACCGTTCCTTTCACGCCGTCTCAGGCAGAAGCTGGAGCAGATCCGGATGTAGTGGTCGGAGCAGCAGCACAGGCGGCTGTAGCAGGAGAGGCCGATGCTGTAACAGCTGCAGCAGCAGAGACACAGTCAGCAGCAGCAGCTGAGACAGCTATAGCGGCAGAACGGGCGGCGGCAGAGGTGGGAGCAGCAAACGCAGCAGCAGCAGAGGCAGCAGCAGCAAGCGCAGCTGCAGCAGAGGCAGCAGCAGCAGCAGCAATGGCAGGAGACGAAGCAGCAGCCTTCTCTCAGCCAGCATGGCGCTATGCCGGATCCCCGGGAGGGAAAGGAGGAAGTGGTACTGGCGCTGTGGCGGCTCAAAAGGCAGGTTACCTGTTTGGGTGGGCAGGGGGGGACCTGAGCTACCGCATGGGGTGGGGAGAGGAGGACAGGGCCGCTTGGCCTGTGGTGGAAGCAGGCAGGCGAGCAGCAGACGCTGCTGCTATGGGAGAGAAGATGGGAGCAGTGGAAGCAGAGAAGGGTGCTGCTGATCCGTTTCCCCCAGGCTCACACAGAGCAGGGGGGGTTCTGGGGCGCAAGGGGGTGAAAGCCGTGGCAGCATCGGGGCACACGCTAGCAGTGACAGTAGACGGAGCACTCTACTCATTCGGCCGAAACTGGGACAGTAGGCGGCGGAAAGCGGGGCAGCTGGGGCGGAAGGGGCCGTTTGGGAGGCCTGGGAGGGTGGCGGGAGTGGCGGGGAGAGTGAGGGCGGTCGCTGCTGGGAAGTTTCATTCGGTGGCAGTGACTGAAGAGGGGGTGGTGTACACGTGGGGGTGTAATGGGAGGGGCCAGCTGGGGAGACAGACGAGGAGCATGGTAAGCGGTTTTGAATGGTGTGAGGGAGTGTAGGTTGACGTTTGAGTTTACTCAGATCTGCCCTAGCCGTGACAAAGGAGGGGTGGTGTACACATGGGGGTGCGATGGGCGGGGACAGCTGGGCTGGCAGTCAAGGAGCATGGTAAAAGTTATGCGAAATAGGTTGAGGGCTACCCTATCTCGCCCTTTTGCCCCCTCTTCCAGGGATCATACCCTTTCACCTGGGGGTCCTAATGTCTGCCCTCTCCGTTTTCCCTCCTCCTACCTTCCAGGGCGACAGGCACAAGGCGGCGCCAGTGAGGGGGCCACTGGAAAACGTGGTGGTGGTGGCGGCAGCAGCAGGGCCGCACTACTCCCTCGCCCTCTTGCCCTCTCTTCCAGTGGTCAGCTCTACACCCCGGAGCTTCAACCTCTTATCTCTTCCCCTCCCTCTCCCTCCTCCACCTCCCAGGGCGACAGGCATGAGGCGGCACCAGTGAGGGGGGCACTAGAAAACGTGGTGGTGGTGGCGGCAGCAGCAGGGCCGCACTACTCCCTCGCGCTCTCTGCCGGGGGGCAAGTCTTCACCTGGGGCCTCAACCTCTTCTCGCTCCCTGCTCCCTGGACCCACCACCATGACCTCTGCCATACTCCTACTGCTGCTTCTTCTTCTGCTGCTGCTGCTGCTGCTGCTGCTGTTGTTGCCGCTGGCAGCGCCGGCAGCAGCACCAGCACCAGCGGTGGATTAGAGAAGGAACTAGCAGCAGCACTGGCACTGGCAGCAGAACCAAGGAGGGTGGGAGGGGCGTTGGAGGGGGAGAGTGTGGTGGAGATAGCAGCAGGGGAGGAGCATTGGCTGGCGCTCACAGATAAAGGCCACGTGTACGCATGCAGGTGAGAGAACATGGGTGGGAGAACACGGGGTTTTGAGAAGCAGACAGGGGGGAGGGTGGGAAGGGCGTTGGAGGGGGAGAGGGTGGTGGAGGTAGCAGCAGGGGAGGAGCACTGGCTGGCGCTCACAGATAAAGGCCACGTGTACGCATGCAATGCAGGTGAGGCACATTTTAGAGGGTACGAGGGAGGAGGGCAGGCGATGCAAGTAAGAAGATAGCAGCAGGGGAGGAGCACTGGCTGGCGGTCACTGATAAAGGCCACGTGTACGCGTGCAGGTGAGGGAGAGGAGACGAGAGGAGACGAGGGTCGAAGCACGCACATCTCAAAGCTCGAGTATGGCGTGTTGAGAAGCAGACAGAGGGAGAGGTGGGAAGGATGATGGAGAGGGAGAGGGAGAGGGAGAGGGAGAGGGAGAGGGAGAGGGAGAGGGGGCCCTGTCTGTACCCCTGCTGAATTAATACAACGGACCATTTGAGAGGGGGCCCTCAGGTGAGAGGGGAGGGGCCCTCAGGTGAGTAGGTGCCCTCAGGTGAGTAGGGGCCCTCAGGTGAGTAGGTGCCCTCAGGTGAGTAGGTGCCCTCAGGTGAGTAGGTGCCCTCAGGTGAGTAGGTGCCCTCAGGTGAGTAGGTGCCCTCAGGTGAGAGGGGAGGGGCCCTCAGGTGAGTAGGTGCCGCTGACTTTCCATCGTCTCGCTCGACTCAAAAGTACTCTCTGCCTGCCGCTGACTTTCCATCGTCTTTTGAGGCGCCTCAAAAGGTGCCGCTGTCTTCCCTCAGGTGACTTTCCATCGTCTCGCTCGACTCAAAAGTACTCTCTGCCTGCCGCTGACTTCCACCACCCGCTCTTCTCCCCTCTGCAACACCGGTTTCAATGCCAGTGGCGTTCGAGTCAATCCGGCCCTCCACGCCCCCCTTCTAGCCCACCCCATCCCCCCTCCCTCTTCCTCCTCCTCTTCCTCCTCCTCCCACACCCGCTTCTCCCTCCCCCACCGCATTACAGCCAGTCCCTTGTCTTCCGAGCGTGCATCAACCATTGGAGGGGCAGCAAGCGCGTCCTTTGCCTTGTCTAAGCTCAAAACTCTTTTTGTGCTCCTGCCCCGTTTCCTTCCGTCCACCCTCTCTTCTCCTGCTTGCAGCACCGGTTTCAACGCCAGTGGCGTTCGAGTCAATCCTGCCCTCCACGCCCCCCTTCTAGCCCACCCCATCTCCTTTCCTTACTTCCCCTTTCTTCATTCCCACCTCCTTCCCTCCCCTCTGCAGCACTGGTTTCAACGCAAGTGGCGTTCGAGTCAATAAGGCCCTCCACGCGCCTCTTCTAGCCCACCCCGTCCCCTCTCCCTCCTCCTCCTCCTCCCACACCCGCTTCTCCCTCCCCCACCGCATCACCGCCGGTCCCTTGTTTTCCGAGCATGCATCAACCATTGGAGCAGCAGCAGGCAGGTGCGTCCCTTGCAATAATGAATGTACTTTCTTATACGCCTTCTCTTCCCCTTTCCACCCCATTTCCTCCCCCCTACCAGCACCGGTTTCAATGCAAGTGGCATTCGAGTCAATCCGGCCATCCACGCGCCTCTTCTAGCCCACTCCTCCCACTCCCGCTTTGCCCTCCCCCACCGCATCACCTCCGGTCCCTTGTCTTCCGAGCGTGCATCAACCATCGGAGCAGCAGCAGGCGCATCTTTTGCTGTCATGGCATCCTCGCAGCAGCTTCTGTCGTGGGGCTATGGTGGGGGGAAACGAGGACTAGCAGCAGCAGCAGCAGCAGCAGGAGGAGGAGCGGCAGCAGCAGCAGGATCTGTGTTACTGGGGCGAACAGGGGGAGCAGCGGAAGAGCCGAGTGAGGTGATGGGAGAGGAGGAGGAGGGGGACGGGGGGTTGCGGTTGGGTGGGGTGGTGCAGGTGGTGGGGGGTGCGTCGTTTGTGCTCGCCCGGACCAGCACTGGACAGGTCTTTTCGTGGGGTCACAACAACTACCATCAGCTTGGCCGCCCAACGTCAAACTCCGCCGACCCGCTTCCCGGCCTCGTGGGCGGCCTGGCTTGTCTGCACGTGGACACTGTAGCAGCAGGGTCGCACCACGGGCTTGTTTTCGGGCGGGCGGAGCGCGGCAAGGAGTTGGAAGTGGTTGAGATGGAACAAGTGGTTAAGGAAGAGTGGGAGCGGGTACATAGTGGGGAAGACAAGACAGGAGGAGGAGGCGGAGCAGGAAGAGCAGGGGGAGAAGGTGCAGCAGGGGCAGGTTGGGGGGAGAGAGGAGGAGGAGGAGGAGGAGCAGGAGAAGGAGGAAAAGGGGCGGTGTTTCCAGTGATATACAACGAGCACCACAGGGGCGAGATCATGCAGGTGGCAGGGGAGTGGTTCGCCCAGCTGCCGCAGTCAGGGTTCGACCCGGCCTTTCGCAACCCCTGCTGGAAGGACGGGTCCGGGTTTCACTGCCTGCCCTATTTCCTCGTTATCGGGGCTATGAGGTAGGAACACCCACCACGTCACCATGCCTTACAGCACACCCTATGTGAGAGTGCTTCGCCCAGCTGCCTCCTTCGGAATTCGATCCCTCATTCCGCAACCCCTGCTGGAAGGACGGGTCCGGGTTTCACTGCCTGCCTCCCTTTCATACCTCTCGACCCTCTGCCCCCCATTCATGCCAATCCTGCCCCTTCACCCCACCTAATTTTGTGCTTCTTATGCTACCAGGAGTGGCGCTCGGGACTTTTTCCATCGCTTGACCATGGTGCACCCGACTGCTGTGCTGCTTGCAAGCCCCTCCCTTACACACCTCTCGCCCCTCTTCCCCCATCCCCTCTTTCCATGCAACCAGGAGTGGCGCTCGGGACTTCTTTCATCGCTTGACCATGGTGCACCCGACTGCTGTGCTGCTTGCAAGCCCCTCCCTTACACACCTCTCGCCCCTCTTCCCCCATCCCCTCTTTCCATGCAACCAGGAGTGGCGCTCGGGACTTCTTTCATCGCTTGACCATGGTGCATCCGACTGCTGTGCTGCCTGCTTCTATGACCAATCTTGAATGGTCAGTCTTCCCTTTATACCGTGCTCCCTTTATCCCGCTACGCCTTGCTTCCTCAATTCCTTTCTGCCATGCTCCATCCATTCACCTACTTCCATTGGTTGACCATGTCCCATCACCCTGCCATGCTGCCTTACTCTGTGGTCTAGTACAACACGAGATTGATGGAAGTAAGGCCTTTGCAGCCCACCTGTCCTCTCTTGACAGCCCCCATTCACCTACTTCCATTGGTTGACCATGTCCCATCACCCTGCCATGCTACCTTACTCTGTGGCGAACCTTGAACGGTCACTCTTCCATTTCTATTTCTCTGCTCGCGAGGTGACTTTTGAGTCGAGTTAAAAAGGTGACTTTGAGTCGACTCAAAAGCAACCTTGAACGGTCAGTCTTCCATTTCTGCCTCTCTGCTTGCGCAGCACATTTCTGCTATGAGCTACCCTCCTACTTCCATCGGCTGACCATGGCCCACTCAGGCATCTTGTTCACTCTTCAATTCTTCATACATGTGTGTGTGTCCTCACCAGGTGGGATATGAGGGAGTATGACCCCTTAGACTGGTACACAAGAGAGGTGACTCCCGCACCGTTGATTCTCTTTTCACTTCCCATGTGTGCGTGTGCCTATGCCTTCACCAGGTGGGACATGAGGGAGTACGACCCCCTAGACTGGTACACGGGCAAATTCCAACCAGCAGGGGAGGTCACATAGCCACGCACCCAGCCGCAATCGCAGGGGAGGTCACCCCCTCGCTGCCCACCCACTCGGGCATCTTGGCCCTCTTTTCACTACCACGTGCCTCCTTTTGCTCCTCCCTTCTCTCTTCCCTGCCCCATGTGTGTGTGTGTGTGTGTGTGTGTCTGATCCAACCAGGTGGGACATGAGGGAGTATGATCCCTTCGATTGGTACACTGAGAAATTCAGCCAAGCAGCAGCGCACATAGCCACGCATCCAGCCGCCATCGCAGGGGAGGTGACCCCCTCGCTGCTCACCCACTCGGGCATCTTGGCTCGAGGGCCACATGCGCGCAGCTTCCTGCTGCCAGAGCTGGTCTTCTCACTGCTCCCCCATGCGCGCTTCATCGTGCTCCTCCGCAACCCCATCCACCGGTGAGTCCACATTTCACTTGGTACCAGGTCAGGCAGTGAAGGGGGAAGGAAGGGGAATGTTGTGCCATCCCTCCCCTCCTCCTCGCTGCTCACCCACTCGGGCATCTTGGCTCGAGGGCCACATGCCCGCAGCTTCCTGCTGCCAGAGCTGGTCTTCTCACTGCTCCCCCATGCCTGCTTCATCGTGCTCCTCCGCAACCCCATCCACCGGTCAGTCCACGTTTCTTATGGTACTGACCGGTGGATGGGTTTGCGGAGGTAGTCGAAGGGGGGAGGTAGAGAGGGGAATGCCACGCCTTCCCTCCTCGCTGCTTACCCACTCGGGCATTCTGGCTCGAGGGCCTCACGCACGCAGCCTCCTGCTCCCAGAGCTAATATTCTCGCTGCTGCCTCGTGCACGTTTCGCCGTGCTCCTCCGCAACCCCATCCACCGGTCAGTCCATTCCCTCGAAATAAATTATATAGGAAAACAAAAGGAAACAACACACTCACACACACACACACCCTCACACACACACACACTCATGCACGCACGCACACACACACACACACACACATGCACGCATGCCACACGCACACACACACACACACACACGGGCACGAATGCCGCACGCACACACACACACACATGGGCACACACACACACACACACACACACACACACACACACACACACACGCATACACTAACGAGCATGCATAGTTCCGCTAGCAATGACATGACCCCGTGCACCTCTCTCCTCCTGGAACGCACGTTTCCTGGGTAATCGAAACAAGCACCCTGGCAGTGTAAGATGGTAGAACATAAAAAAACAGAAACTTCAAATACTTTTTATTATTGCTTTCCCTCTTTCTCTCTCCTTTTCCTTGCGCAATTCCTACCAGCTGGTTCTCGTCTTTCCTGTCGGCTAAGCAGCAGGACGACTCTCACATCACATTCGACAGCAGCGACTGCAGCAGCAGTTTTTTTTTTTTTTTTTTTTTTTTTTTTTTTTTTTTTTTTTGGCCTGTACGACTCCGTCGTAACCCCGGACCAGGACAAGCCTGGCCAAGGTAGCCCCGAAGAGAACCGCGCCCTAGGGATTGGGAAATCACTCCTAGCCCCAGGAGGAGCAGCAGCAGCAGTGCAGCGGATGATTTTTAGCTTACTAAAAACTTTCTCCCTTTCTCTCCCTCCCCCGCCCCCTTTTTGTGCAATCCCTACCAGGTGGTTCTCTTCCTTCCTGTCTGCGAAGCAACATGACGACTCTCACATCGCTTTCAACAGCAATGACAGCAGCAGCAGCAGCAGCAGCAGTGCAGCAGAAGCCTCCGAATCTACTTCAAAATCTTCTCCACCCCCCTCTTTGTGTGCAATCCCTTACAGCTGGTTCTCTTCCTTCCTGTCTGCTAAGCAGCAAGACGATTCTCACATCACCTTTGACAGCAACGACAGCAGCAGCAAAATATAACCTTTCTTTTTAATTCCCCCTCCCCCTCCCCCCCCCCCCCCATTTGTCTTTGTCAATCCCTTACAGGTGGTTCTCTTCCTTCCTGTCGGCGAAGCAACATGATGACTCTCACATCGCTTTCAACAGCAACGACAACAGCAGCAGTGCAGCTGACGCTTTTGCGAGACACGTAGATGTGGTGTTACCCGCAATTAAAGGGTGTATGGTGGACCATTCCCCTGTCTACTGCTCCCGCCTGCTCTTCCACTCCTTTCCGCATGTGTGCCGCAGCATGTATGCCTATTTCCTATCGGTAAGTTGACGCACCTCTTTATTCCCACCGCTCTCTGCCTGCCTCATTACCTTCCGCATATGTGCTGCAGCAAATATGCTTGCTTTATTTCCTCTGTCATCACTCCCTCGTCTCCCTTATTTCTACGGCAGCACACACACCTAGGGTACTTATGATCCTGAAATTACACCTGCATTCGTCCTTAAGCCTCCCTACTGCAAAATCAACTGCCATGTGCCTTGAGAGCCACTTTCTCTGTTTGATGCACTTGCTCACTCTTTGGTGTCCCTTTGGCCTTTGGCAGGACTGGCTGGAAGTCTACCCCCGAAAGAACTTCCTCTTTATAAATTTTGAGGACTATATATCAAACCCGAAGCTACACCTCATTCAAGCCATGAGGTTTCTCCAAGTTCCGTCAGAAGAAATCGATAAAATCCCAGATGACGCATGGAGAGATGTTACGAGCCAGGAAGTTGTGGGTGCTCGGGCGCAAGAGCAAGGGCAGGGGCAGGAGATGCACCCTAAGACTAGAGAAGCGTTACAGGATTTCTTTCTTCCTATCAACACAGACCTGGCTAGGTTGTTGCGGGATGGCAGTTTCTTGTGGAAATGAAAGTAATGCTGCAATATTGCTTCGCACAAGGGCAGCATCTGCTGTGGATGCAAGTACCAGTAATAAGTAAACATTTTATTACACAACTAATTTACCACAAGAAGCAGGAGAGTGAGTAGTGACTGCTCGTCCAGTCATATACCACCAGGCATCTTAGAGCATACCGGTACAGAGCACGACCTTGAAAGACCCAGCTGCACTAACTAGAGCACAAGCAGGCACGAATTCGCACGAATCACGGCTCTGTTTTCTTAAAATCATGCTGCTGCTGCTGCTTCTGCTGCTGCCGCTGCCTCGGCTTTAGCCATTCACCCAACAGTTGCGTCACTTCTTGATAAGCATGAGAGCATCTGATTGGTTTGGATCGTCTAATCTGAGCGCGAGAAGATATTAGCGGGAATTAAACGACTGATCTGAGTCAGGAGTCGTCGGAGCGGCGGGGGTGTGCAGCTGTGGCAGTGAGATCCCCGTTGTAGACGGATTCGTTAACAGATCCACCTGCTTCTCCCCCCGTCTGAGAAGGTACTCAATACGTCCGATCTCCGCCCGTCCGACCGAATTCGCAGTTTTTCTGAATTCTGACGTCAGGTACTCCCGCAAAGCCGCGGATTCCGCGGGTGGTTTCGATCTGGCTACGCGTAACAGGCGGCGGTAGAGAGAGAAGATCTCGCGCTGAATTCCGGAAACCCGCATCGGAACGTGAATTGGTCTAATATTAATCGGTCTACTCCTGTCACCTGCTGAACATCCGCGCGTCAGACGGCGAGAATACAAATCGGGTAAATGTGATGAAGGCCCAGCACAAACGAATTCTAGCGCTGACTCTTCTTGCCTAGCTGGTCCTGCCCACCCCCGCCAGACCAGAGAGTCGATGCTTGGCAAGGCAAGGCAAGAGCGTGTACTCGTTACAAGGCAAAAACAAACAGGTGAAATGAGCACCCAGCATCTGTAACCAGCTGTACACCCACCGAAAACCATTCGTAGATGTGAAAGCTGCATAAAAAAAGAGTGTGCTGTTGCAATGACTGGCTGATCTGAAAATGTTACCGTATTGTAACGTACTCAAACTCATTGCAACACGGATTACCATGTCAACCAATCGTCAACACCATCCACCTCCAATCCCTCCCTCAAACAATCAGTTCGCCCAAATCCGACGAGCGAGCCCGACAAATCCGTTTCAAATCTAGTAGGTAGTAGAATAAGAACGATTGAAAACGCTAAACCACGTTGAAGTAGGATATGGTGGGTTACAAAGTGGTTCTGGTTCTGAGAGAGCCCAACACCACATCGTCCCACGCCATCTCACACCCTTTTTCCGCTTTTCACGCTTCTAGTCTGCATACGGGCATCAATAACCATCACAGGACGGCAGTTGATGGCTGGATCGGCATTACGCACAGAGCAACCGCCGCATTCTCTGGCTTACAGAACCCGTTAGAATCAACTTTATTGCTCAGGATACTTCTGTATGTAGCTAGATTCTTTCATTCCCTTTTTTTTCTCGTTCCCAATAGTGAAACCCTGATATCGCAGCGACCGCCATGTTCTGGTCAACGCGCCACGACTATCAGCCAGTCGCGACCAACACCGAGGATGGCACCGCTTCGTCCGCATCCTACGGCGGAGAATCCGGAAGCCCGTCGCGAGCCTCACCGGGGACTGTGTCGCCATCAGCGTCATCGCCGCCGCCCAAGGCGCAGCAGTGGGTGGTGGTGCTCATCGCCGTGATTGGCGGGCTTGCACTGGCGATGACATTAGCGGCTGACGTCATGCGGGTGAAGGTGAGACGCGTAGCGAGCCAAGAGTATCGCAGCCGTTCGTTACCGTTCTTTACCGATCGCGGCCGCTCGCAGCCGTTCATTACCGTTCGATTCCGTTCCTACTCGTTCGCATGCAACCCCATGGCTCCCTAGGCCCTCGATCGCCAGGGCAGGCACGGTCTTTCTCCGCTCCCCTCGACTCGGCACTCACGGCGAGTTGCAATGCTGCGCCGGTCGCCAATGCAAATTCTCAAAAGCATCTCCGATATGCACGGGTGCAAGTTGCAGTGCTGCGGTCGCCTTTGAGGGGCGAGTTGCATTGCAAGTTGCAAAAGTGCTCCCCTCTCCCTCCGGCATGCAAACTCATTTCCCCTCGGCTTGGCACCGGGGCGAGTTGCAAATACACAGCGCTTCCCTCCCCCATCCTGTCCCCTCTTCCCCTTCCCCCACCCCTTCCCCCACCCCTTCCCCTTCACCCCCGCCAGCAGTCCGCCACTCACATGCTCCACGCACAGAACGCCCTTCACTGCGTTTATCCCAGCAACCCTCTTGTATCCCCTCTATCTCCCCCGCTCCGCCCCTCCTTCCCCCCATCCACCCCCCCCCCCCCCAACGCGCACTCTCTTTCACCCGCCAGCAGTCATCCACTCACATGCGAGACCCACAGAACGCGCTGCATTGCATCGGTCCCAGCAGCCCTCATGTACCCCCCCCCCCGCTCCGCCCCGCTTCCCCCCTCTTCCGCCTCCCCCCCTTCTCTCTCCCCTCCGACAGCAGTCCGCCACTCACATCCTCGACGCACAGAACGCGCTGCATTGCATCTACCCCAGCAGCACCCCCATATACCCCCTTTGTATACAATGCAATGCATCTGCTCCGTTGCCTCTGCTGGGGTAGATGCAACGCAGCGCGTTCTAGATTCCCATATACCCCCTTTGTATCTCCCCCTTCGTTGCCCCCCCCGCCCCTTCCCCCCGCCAGCAGTCATCCACTCACATGCTCGACGCGCAGAACGCCCTGCACTGCATCTACCCCAGCAGCCCCTCGGGGGGCTACGCTGCAGCAGCGGCGCTGCTGCTGGTGGTGGCTCAGGGCTTCGCACTCCGGCACGGGGGCACCCACTGGTGCCAGGCCTCCCGCCTCGACACACGGCGCAATCGCAACCTCTTGCTCGTGGTTCTCCTCACCAACCTGTGAGTTTACCAATCGGGGGCCTCGCTGCTGCTGGTGGTGGCTCAGGGTTTCACTCTGCTGCACGGAGGCACCCACTGCTGCCAGGCGTGCCTTTTGAGGGCCCGGGTGGGGGCTACGCTGCTGCAGCGGCGCTACTGCTGGTGGTGGCTCAGGGTTTCGCTCTCCTGCACGTGAGCACACACTGGTGCCATACCTCCCGCTTCGACACGCGGAGGAATTGCAACCCTCTGCTGGTGGTTCTCCTCGCCAATCTGTAATTGTACCAATCGGGGGCCTACGCTGCTGCGGCAGCAGCAGCGCTGTTGCTGGTGGTGGCTCAGGGTTTTGCTCTCCTGTGTGGGGTAACCCACTGGTGTCATGCCTCCCACCTCGACACGCGGCAGAACAGAAACTTTTCACTTATTGTTCGCCTCACCAATCTGTATTGTGTTTTAAGACGACTCTAAAGGGTCTTCCTCTATGGCACCATACTTGTGCTCTCTTCATCATCCTTCACCCTCCACACCTCCCAATCTTCCTTCAATTAACCCTGACTCTCTGCTTTTCAACCTTCGCCTCCCTTAACAGGATATTCCTCTGTGTAACCATCCTCGCCCTCTCCATTTCTTCTCTCTCTCCTTTGATTCCTTCAACTGACTTGGTTTTTATATCCAATACCCTTCATGCACCTCCCCAAACAGGATCTTCCTTTGTGTTACCATCCTCGCTCTCTCCGTCTCCTCCCTAGACAACGCCCATCCCGGCACCTACGCCCTCCGCTCCACCTCCCCCTCCTCCGCCTCCCTCTCCCCCAACCAAACCCCCGACCCCTGCCCAGTCGCCGACTCGGCTCTCTTCCTCTCCGCCTCGCTCCTCTGCCTCTTCACCGTTCTTCTCATGGAGGCGTACTATCTCGCCGCCATGCGCACGCGACAATACGCATGGATGATTTCTCGCTACTGCACTGTTCGCTCGGTGCATCTCGAGGCGTTTCAGCGGGAGGCCATGCGAGCGAGCGTTGTGCCGGTTGGATCGCCGAGGTCGGATCTAGAGGCAGGAGAGGAGATCAAGGAAGCCTAGCATTTTCTGGTGGTTGTTGATCTTGAAATATACAAGAAAATACCACTGTAGCACGTTCCTAGCTCATGAAAATGTACCGTACCAACAATATTACCTGTGTATTGCGTGAATGTTATCCAGCTATTGCACCTTGTCGTGCCAGTTGGATCGCCAAGAAGGATCTAGAAGCTGGAGGAGGGCAAGATCTCGAAGCTGGATCAAGCTGGATCTAGAAGCAAGATCTAGTGCAGGATTCAAGCATCCCATTGTGCTGTTCAAGCTAAACTGGCACAGTACCTGTAAGCAGCTCTGCTTTCATGAAACAGGTGGCTTAAAACATCACATCACCCTGCATGTAGTGGATCATTTTCCAAGTGGAATATAAATACTACGGTACCTACATGGGCTAGCCTAGCAGTCACACAATCCAGGCAATCAATAAGAATAATAAAAAGCTAGGAGTCACCTCTTCTGCTGCTAAGGCAAGACACGAAAGGGATTCACGAAGGCAATTTAGAAAAGCAAGTCAAGTCGGTGCCAGTGTCAGTTTCAGACGGTAGGCTAGGAGGAGCCTGGTGGTTACCGAAGGTAGGGGAGGGAGGTTGAGGGAAGATACAGGCAGCGGAAACGCGAGAAAGTCGGGGGGTAGGTGAAGCTGCAAGGGATGAGAGGCAGGGAAAACTTACATCTGTAAGGCAGGGGAACAGTAAGAGGAAAGTGTGGGGGAGACAAGAGGTGAGTTGGTGGAAGGGGGGGAGAGGGCGAGGAGGATGAGGGATGGGTGGGGTGAAATATGACGGGTGAGCGCGGGTGGAGATGATGGGGGATGGGGGGTGGGTGGGAGAAAATGGGGGGTGAATGGGAAGGGAAACGAGGGGTGAGCGGGAAGGGAAAGGAGGGGTGAGCGGGAAGGGAAAGGAGGGTTGAGCGGGAAGGGAAAGTAGGGGTGAGTGGGGGAGGGAAAGGAGGGGGAGAGAGCAGATGAGGGGTGAATGGAGGATGGGGTGCGATGAGGGGTGCGGCGGGGAGATGAGAGGAGAGCGGGGCAGGGAATTGGGGGGGGGGGGGGGGGGGGGGGGGGAGGAGGGGAGGGGTGGTGACGGGAGATGGGGGAGACGAGAAGAGGGGAGAACAGGGAGATGATGGGAGAACTGGAAGGGGAGATGAGGAGAGCAGGGTAAGTTAAGGGGAATGCGGAGGGGAAATGAGGAGTGACGGGAAACAAATGAGGAAGGATCGGGGAAGGAGCAGGGGGAGATGATGGAAAGCGGGGGGGAGGAGAGAGGAGAGGGGGGGAACATGCGGGGAGAGCGGGAGGAGATGAGGAGATGGGGAATGTCCCCCCCCACCCAACCGCACCCCATCCCCCCTCCCCATCTCTACCCACCTCCCCTTCCTCACCCCCCACCACCCCACCCCCCCTCCTCCTCCACTCCCCTCCCCCCCCTTCCCCCGCTCACACGCCCCACCCCACCCCCCTTACATTTCCCCTTTTCACCTTTCTGCCGACTTGCCTGCTAGCGGACCTGCAATCACCGCGTTTGACGCTTGACTTGCCTAACGCGATCGAATCGTCGGCAACGCGGAATCTAACAGGTGCGAACCGAAGCTACTAATGCGCCCGTATCGAAAGTTTCCGTAAATCGACGGTGGCCGCCAGGTCGATGTTAATTAATCCGTCCGAAATGTGTCCACAAATCGACACGGCTAATGTGTCCGCAAGTCGATGTTACTAATCCGTCCCGAAATTTAACGTCGAATTCCAGCCGCACTGAGTAAGTTTGAAAAAATGGAGCGACTACTGGCTGCCTTATGTAATCTGAAGCGCGCAACTGTCGGTACATATTCACTAAGATCTGATTATGGTAAGAGTTACTGGCGGTGCTCACATCATCACGTGAAGCAACTATTTTAGAACTACGCATAATTTCAGCGACTGACACTATCTACGGTGCTACGCCTTGGGTCGCGTTCAGATCTATCGGAATGACAACAAGAAGCGACGGTGGCGCGCCTAGATCTACTAACAAGGAACAAATACAAGTAATGGAAGTGCATCACTGAACTAGTAGAAGGTGCGAGGTGTTGGTTGAAATGCCAAGGTGGTAGTACGATGGGTGACCGAAACACCCTCGACTCCGATTGGCTCGCATGACTGTTTATATCAACCACTCCAAGCTATTTCTGCTGCCCGAACCTGGTTCACACGCAGCGAAGGTACTTTCGAGAGCAGCTAAACTTCCTGAGGATTCAGCCAAACATTTTTCTTACCACATTCTACACCACACAATCCCGCGCCTCACGCGGGCCTCACTAAGTAAAACTCGTGGTCCTTTTCTAGCAGAGTGTGCCACGTCAGTTTCCTCCTAAAAGGTTCGAGCCTGCCCCAGCTCCAAACCTGGGGTGCGCACCAAACCCATCCACCTGCGATACGCGCCCCAAGAAAACTCGTTTGCAGCAAACCAATGCAAACCAAACTGAACAGAATTCTCAACTGAACATTGAAGTGTTCAGATCGTATTGCAATGGAGTTTGAATGTTGTGTACTGTACACACTTCAGCCGCCTCCAAATTATTCCGGCATTCCCCGCAGACATTATCCACGCGGGGCCCTCGAGAAAATCTCCACCGTAAAATAGCGGCTCCATTGACAGCTCTAATCCATCTTTACCGTTGACGGAGACTATGGTAATCCAGCGCATCAATTCAGCAAAAACCAACCAATGCCAGCCCTTCCCGCACTTCAGGCAGAAAGAGCTGCCGTGTCGCACCCCACTGCACCCAGCAGCACATCACTTTTTGAATTTAGGGCGCGCTCTGCCGCGCGGGGCGGCCTGCGCCCAACACCATGCTCGAATGGAGTTCATCGCTGCTTCATCTCCTGCCTGACTTGATCCTCTTCTGGAGCACCTGAAACAGCCTTCTCTGTCTTCTCCTGCAGCCTCTTCGCTCACAGCGAGCATCCCATACCTCCCAACCAAAAAACAGTCAAGTAGAATCAATAGACCAATTTCAGATTTATCCTTCGCGATTACATTTGAAGGATCTTCACAAGAACTTCTCCTACCTTATACGGACTTTAGGCTACAAGCTCCACGGAGCAGTTTGTGATTAATGAAGCCAACCGGCTCGTACAAGAGGAAGCACTTGGCATGCTGCAGCTGGGTGGGATGGGTTGGGTAGCTTAGAGAGTCGTAAAAGCTGCGCTGCCTCGAGCTGATCCTGGTACGACGCCGAGGTTCTCGCGGCATGGTCTCCGCGAGAACTCCCGTTAAAATCCCGTGTGGGCTCCAATCCTGTGTGGGTTCCAATCCCGTGTGGTCTTCAATCCCGTGTGGGCTCCAATCCCGTGTGGGCTCCTATCCCGTGTGGTCTTCAATCCCGTGTGGGCTCCAATCCCGTGTGGGCTCCAATCCCGTGTGGGCTCCAATCCCGTGTGGGCTCCAATCCCGTGTGGGCTCCAATCCCGTGTGGGCTCCAATCCCGTGTGGGCTCCAATCCCGTGTGGGCTCCAATCCCCTCCCGTGTGGGCTCCAATCCCCTCCCGTGTGGGCTCCAATCTCCTCCCGTGTGGGCTCCAATCTCCTCCCGTGTGGGCTCCAATCTCCTCCCGTGTGGGCTCCAATCTCCTCCCGTGTGGGCTCCAATCTCCTCCCGTGGGGGCTCCAATCTCCTCCCGTGTGGGCTCCAATCTCCTCCCGTGTGGGCTCCAATCTCCTCCCGTGTGGGCTCCAATCTCCTCCCGTGTGGGCTCCAATCTCCTCCCGTGTGGGCTCCAATCTCCTCCCGTGTGGGCTTCAATCTCCTCCCGTGTGGGCTTCAATCTCCTCCCGTGTGGGCTTCAATCTCCTCCCGTGTGGGCCCCTAATCTCCTCCCGTGTGGGCTTCAATCTCCTCCCGTGTGGGCTTCAATCTCCTCCCGTGTGGGCTTCAATCTCCTCCCGTGTGGGCTTCAATCTCCTCCC